AGAGGATGGACTTTGGATGATGGGACTTGCAGTACCTTCACTCACTTACTGACACCACTGCCACCCTCATCTAATGATAAAGACCAAACTTGGCACACAGAGCCCCCATGACCCACTCCATATCCTGCTGCTGTTTGTAGGAGGATGGCCCATGGATGATGGGACTTCAAATACCTTCACTCACTTCCTGAAAATAATGCAGCCGTTATCCAAAGACCAATAAAGACCAAACTTGGCATACAGAACCGCCATTACCCACTTTCTCTAATAACCCGGGCAACGCCGGGTCCCCAAGCTAGTATATAATAAAGAAGAGTGTTTGTATCGGACAGAGGAATTGTGGAGGGAGGGCGGTGTATGTGGCAGCGTTCTGATTGGCTGCCGCTGTGGTGCTATTTGCATATGGTCTCTGATTGGCCAGCTTCAATAGGAGCCCCTGGTGGAGAAGAGGGTTCATGGCAGAAACGGGGCATGACAGAAGGAAATTTGCATATGGTCTCTGATTGGCCAGCCTCAAATCCAACATTCCGAGATGAGAAAGAGAGGAAAGGAAAGGCCGGGGCCTGGGTCAGAACACTCCCAATACAGATCGAAATAGGCACACAGAGCCCCCATCACCCACTCTACATCCTACTGCAGTTTGGAGGACTATGAACCATGGATGATGGGACTTGCAGTACCACCACTCACATTCTGAGACCGCTCTCAACCTTATCCAATGACTGATCAGGACCAAACTTCGCACAGAGACCTCTCATGACCCACTTTACGTCCTGGTGTGGTTTGGCCGGGGATGGACCGTGGATTATGGGACTTGCAGTACCATTGCTCATTCTTCAGACCACTGCAACCCTCATCCAATTACCAAAAAATACCAAACTTGGCACACTGAGTCTCCATGACGCACTCTACATCCAGGTGCAGTTTGAAGGAGGATGCACCATGGACGATGGGACTTGCAATACCTGCACTCCCTTCCTAAGACCATTACAACTGCCAACAATGATGGATCAGGACCACAATTTACACAGAGAGCCTGCATGACCCACTCTACATCCTGGTGCGGTTTGGAAGAATTTGACAATGGATGATGGGACTTGCAGTCACTTCACTCACTTCCTGAGACCACTGAGACCCACGCCAATGACTCATCAAGACTAAACTTGGCACATGGAGCTTCAATGACCCACTCTACATCCTGGAGCAGTTTGGAGGACGACAGACCATGGATGATAGGACTTCAAGTACCTCCACTACCCAAGACTGCTGCAACCCTCATCTAATGTCCAAACAAAACCAAACTTGGCACACAGAGCCCCCATGACCCACTCTACATCCTAATATGGTTTGAAGTAGGGCATGCCATGGATGATGGGACTTGAAGTACCTCTACTCGCTTTCCGAGACTGCTGCAACCCTCAACAATGACTGAACAACACCAAACTTGGCACATCGACCTCTCATGACCCACTTTATGCCCTGGTGAGGTTTGACTGTGGATCGTGCATGGATTTTGGGACTTGCAGTACCTTCGCTCAATTCCTGAGACCACTGCAAAACATCATCCAATTTCCGATAAGGACCAAACTTGGCACACCGGGTCTCCATGATGCACTCTACATCCTGGTACGGTTTGGAGGATGATGCACCATGGACAATGGGACTTAGAGTACCTTCACTCAGTGAAACCACTGAGACCCTCATCCAATGACTGATGAAGACCAAACTTGGCACACAGAGCCCCCATGGCCAACTCAACATTCTGGTGAGGTTTGGGAGAGAACAGACTATGGATGATGGGACTTCAAGTACCTCCACTCACTTCCCAAGACTGGTGCAACCCTCATGTAATGACCAATCAAGACCAAACTTGGCACACAGAGCCCCCATGAGCGACTCTACATCCTGGTGCTGTTTGGAGGAGGACGGACAATGGATGATGGGACTTGCAGTACCTTCACTCACTTCCTGAAACCACAGTGACACTCATCCAAATACCAAGAAAGACCAAACTTGGCACAGAGAGCCCCCATGGCCAACTCAACATTCTGGTGATGTTTGAGGGAGACTATGGATTATGGGACTTGCAGTACCTTAACTTATGTTCTGAGACTGCTGTGATCCTCATCCAATGACTGATCAAGACCAAACTTAGCACACAGAGCCCCCATGACCCACTTTACGTCCTGCTGCAGTTTGAAAGGGGATGGACTTTGGGTGATGGGACTTGCAGTACCTTCACTCACTTACTGACACCACTGCCACCCTCATCTAATGACTGATAAAGACCAAACTTGGCACACAGAGCCCCCATGACCCACTCTATATCCTGCTGCTGTTTGTAGGAGGATGGCCCATGGATGATGGGACTTCAAGTACCTTCACTCACTTCCTGAAAATAATGCAGCCGTTATCCAAAGACCAATAAAGACCAAACTTGGCATACAGAACCGCCATTACCCACTTTCTCTAATAACCCGGGCAACGCCGGGTCCCCAAGCTAGTATATAATAAAGAAGAGTGTTTGTATCGGACAGAGGAATTGTGGAGGGAGGGCGGTGTATGTGGCAGCGTTCTGATTGGCTGCCGCTGTGGTGCTATTTGCATATGGTCTCTGATTGGCCAGCTTCAATAGGAGCCCCTGGTGGAGAAGAGGGTTCATGGCAGAAACGGGGCATGACAGAAGGAAATTTGCATATGGTCTCTGATTTGCCAGCCTCAAATCCAACATTCCGAGATGAGAAAGAGAGGAAAGGAAAGGCCGGGGGCTGGGTCAGAACACTCCCAATATAGACGAAACTTGGCACACAGAGCCCCCATCACCCACTCGACATCCTACTGCAGTTTGGAGGAGTATGAACCATGGATGATGGGACTTGCAGTACCACCACTCACATTCTGAGACCGCTGTTAACCTTATCCAATGACTGATCAGGACCAAACTTCGCACAGAGACCTCTCATGACCCTCTTTACGTCCTGGTGTGTGTTTGGCTGGGGATAGACCATGGATTATGGGACTTGCAGTATTTTTCCCCAATTCCTGAGACCACTGCAACGCTCATCCAATTATCGATAAAGACCAAACTTGGCACACTGAGTCTCCATGACGCACTCTACATCCAGGTGCAGTTTGAAGGAGGATGCACCATGGACGATGGGACTTGCAATACCTGCACTCCCTTCCTAAGACCATTACAACTGCCAACAATGATGGATCAGGACCACAATTTACACAGAGACCCAGCATGACCCACTCTACATCCTGGTGCGGTTTGAAAGAATTTGGCAATGGATGATGGGACTTGCAGTCACTTCACTCACTTCCTGAGACCACTGAGACCCTCGCCAATGACTCATCAAGACTAAACTTGGCACATGGAGCTTCAATGACCCACTCTACATCCTGGTGCAGTTTGGAGGAGGACAGACCATGGATGATGGGACTTCAAGTACCTCCACTCCCCAAGACTGCTGCAAAACTCATCTAATGACCAATCAAGACAAAAGTTGGCACACAGAGCCCCCATGACCCACTCTACATCCTGCTGCAGTTTTGGAGAAGGGTGGACCATGGATGATGGAACTTCCAGTACCTTCACTCACTTTCTGAGACCTCTGCAAACTTCATCCAATGATGGATCAAGACCAAACTTGGCACATAGACCTCTCATGACCCACGTTACGTCCTGGTGTTGTTTGGAAAAAAATTGGAGATGGATGATGGGACTTGCAGTACCTTTGCTCACTTCCTGAGACCACTGAGACCCTCGCCAATGACTGATCAAGACCAAACTTGGCACACAGAGTCCCCATGATCCACTCTACATCCTGGTGCAGTTTGGAGGAGGACAGACCATGGATGATGGGACTTCAAGTACCTCCACTCCCTTCCAAAGATTGCTGCAACCCTCTTCTAATGACCAATCAAGACCAAACTTGGCACATAGAGCCCCCATGATCCACTCTACATTCTGCTGCTGTTTGAAAGAGGATGGACTTTGGATATGGGACTTGCAGTACCTTCACTCACTTACTGAAACCACTGCCACCCTCATCTAATGACTGATAAAGACCAAACTTGGCACACAGAGCCCCCATGACCCACTCTATATCCTGCTGCTGTTTGTAGGAGGATGGCCCATGGATGATGGGACTTCAAGTACCTTCACTCACTTCCTGAAAATAATGCAGCCGTTATCCAAAGACCAATAAAGACCAAACTTGGCATACAGAACCGCCATTACCCACTTTCTCTAATAACCCGGGCAACGCCGGGTCCCCAAGCTAGTATGTAATAAAAGTCAGTGTTTGTATGTGGAGGGAGGACGGGAGGGAGGTGTATGTGGCAGCGTTCTGATTGGCTGCCACTGTGGTGCTATTTGCATATGGTCTCTGATTGGCCAGCTTCAAAATTCCAAGATTCTGAAGTGACAAAAGAGGAGAGGAAAAGGCCTGAGGCTGTGTCAGAAAATTACCAGTATAGACCAAACTTGGCACACAGAGCCCGCAAGACCCACTCTACATCCAACTCAACATTCTGGTGAGGTTTGGGGGAGAACAGACCATGGATGATGGGACTTGCAGTACTTTAACTCACTTCCTTAGACCACTGCAACCCTCATCCAATGACTGATCAAGACCAAACTTGGCATACAGAGCCCCCATGACCCACTCTCCATCCTGGTGCAGTTTGGAGGAGGATGGACCACGGATGATGGGACTCGCAGTACCTTCACTAACTTCCTGAGACCACTGCAAACTATATAACTGATAAAGACCAACCTTGATACACAATTCCTTTCTCAAATAACCCGGGCAGCGCCGGGTTCCTGAGTTAATAAATAAATAAAACATATGGGAGAACTTCCTGACAGTAAGAGCTGTTCAAGAGTGGAACTCAGTTCGTCAGAGACTGATGGAGGCTTTTAAACAGAGGCTACATGGCAGAAAGGGGTTCGACTGTATGGTCCCTGGGGTCCCCTTCCCAACTCTAGGATTCTAGGTGTCTCCATACAAGGACTCACCTCTCCCATCAGCCTCTGGGCCCTCTTGCCCTGCCAGGCTTTCATTGCTGCCGGCCCCCTCCGCCATGGGGCGCAGCTGATCGCGGGGAGCATCCCGGCGAGGCTTCATCAGCTTCCTTATTTTCTCTGCAATCCAGTTACTTTTCCTAAGAGGGTAAAGAGGGATGGGTTGAAGAATCAACAGTAAAGGGAGACCTGGTTGTTCCCACCTCATGTGATCCGCTTCAAAGGAGTCCATTTCCCCAAGAGAAGAGAGTTACTGCACTGGAAGGAAGGAAGGGAAGGAAAGAGAGAAGGAAGGAAGGAAGGAAGGAAGGAAGGAGGGAAGGAAGGAAAGAAGGGAGAAAGAGGCAAGGAAGGAAAGACAAAGGGGAAGGAAGGAAGGATGGAAGGGAAGGAGGAAGGAAAAAGAAGGAAGGAAGGGAGAAAAGGATAAAGGAAGAGAGAAGGAAGGAAAAACAAAAGGGAAGGAAGGAGAAAGGGAGAGAGGGAAGGAAAGAAGGAAGGATGAAAGGGTGGAAGGGAGGAAAGAGGCAAGAAAGGAAATAAAGGGGAAGGAAGGACGGATGGAAGGGAAGAAGGAAGGAAAAAGAGAAGGAAGGGAAGGAAGGATAAAGGAAAGAGATGGAAGGAAAGACAAAATGGAAGGAAAGGAGAGTGGAGGAAGAAAGGCAAAGGAAGAAAGGGGGAGGGAAGGAAGGAAAGAGAAAAGGGAGGGAAGGATGGAAGGGAAGGAGGAAGGAAAAAGAAGGAAGGGGGGGAGGGAAGGAGGAAAGAGAGAATGAAGGAAAGACAAAAGGGAAGGAAGGAGCAAGGGAGAGAGGAGGAAAAGAAGAGAAGGATGAAAGGGTGGAAGGGGAAAGAAGGAAGGAAGGAAAGAGAGAAGGGAGGAGGAGGAAAGGAAAGAAAGAGAAGGAAGGAGAGAAAGGGAAGAAAGGAAAAGAAAAGGGGAAGGAGGGAGGGAAGGAAGGAGAAGGAAAAAGGGGAGGGAGGAAGATAAAGGAAAGAGCATGAAGGAAAGATCCAAGAGAAGGAAGGAAGGAGAAAGGGAGAGAGGGAGGAAGGAAAGAAGGATGAAAGGGTGGAAGGGAAGGATGGATGGACGGAAGGAAGGAAGGAAGGGAAGGAGGAAGGAAAGAAGGAAGGAAGGATGAAAGGGAGGAAGGAAAAAGAAGAAAGGACTGAAGGAAGGGCGAGAAGGATAAATGAAAGAGAGAAGGAAGGAAAGACAAAAGGGAAAGAAGGAAGGAGAAAGGGAGAGAGGGAAGGAAGGAAGGGACGAAAGGGTGGGTGGGAAGGATGGAAGGAAGAAAGGGAAGGAGGAAGGAAAGAGAGAAGGAGGAAAGGGGGAGGGAGGAAGGGAAAAAAGAGAAGAAAGGATGAAGGAAGGAGAGAAGGGAAGGAAAGAGAGGAAGGAAGGAAAGACAAAAGGGAAGAAAGGAGTAGGAAAGTGGGAGAGAGGGAGGAAAGGGGAGGAAGGGTGAAAGGGTGGAAGGGAAGGGGGAAGGAAAAAGGAAGGAAGGGAGGAGGGAAGGAAGGAAGGAAAGAGAAGGAAAAGAAAGAGGGAAGGAAGGAGAGGAAGGGAAGGATGGAAAGAAGGAAGGAGAAAAGGAGAGAGGGAAGAGGGAAGAGAAGGATAAAGGAAAGAGAGAAGGAAGGAAAGACAAAAGGGAAGGAAGGAAAGATAAAGGGAGGGAAGGGGGAAGGAAGAAAGAAATGGTGCAAGGGAAAGAAAAATGGAAGGAGGAAGGAAAGAGAGAAGGAAGGAAGGACAGGATGGTGAAAGAGAGGAGCCCCAGAGGAAAGAGAATGGATAAGAGTCTATCCTGCGTGGGACTTACTTGCCGCGAGGAAGCGCCGGGTCCAGCACCCGGTACTGGTCCATGATCTTCTCCACCAGTTTCTGTTTTTCCCGACGTAATTCGCCCAGTTTGTCCCTTTGAGGAGGAAAAGGGGAGTCTAATTTAACATTAAGGCCCTCCAGAAACATTACAGGATCCATGTTTCCTTTTTTCCCTCTCTCTCTCTCCTATTTCTTTACATTGTTTCAAGTATTTCCCACCGGAGTGGAACTCATCTATCGGACAGATGGCAAGCTATTTAACCTCAGCAGACTGAAAGCCAAACCCAAGGTTACAACATCTGTTATAGAACTCCAGTATGCTGATGACAATGTCGTCTGTGCGCATTCAGAAGACCTACAACCTCTGTTATAGAACTCCAGTATGCTGATGACAACGTTGTCTGTGCACATTCAGAAGAAGACCTACAACATCTGTTATAGAACTCCAATATGCTGATGACAATGTCGTCTGTGCGCATTCAGAAGAAGACCTACAACATCTGTTATAGAACTCCAGTATGCTGATGACAACGTTGTCTGTGCACATTCAGAAGAAGACCTACAACATCTGTTATAGAACTCCAGTAAGCTGATGACAACGTCAGAAGAAGACCTACAAGCCACTCTAAACACCTTTGCAGAAGCATACAAAAAGCTTGTCCTGTCATTGAACATTGAGAAAACCAAAGTGCTCTTCCAGCAGTCACCAGAAGAAGCAAAGACCACCATCATTGAAGCGATGGTCCTCCGCCATCAACTCCGCTGGACCGGCCACGTTGTCCGGATGCCCGACCACCGTTTATTTATTTATTTATTTATTTACAGTATTTATATTCCGCTCTTCTCACCCCGCAGGGGAATCAGGGCGGATTACAATGTACATATACATGGCAAACATTCAATGCCATAGACACACAACATACATAGACAGGCACACAAAGGCTATTTAACATTCCAGCTTTTCTTGAGGGTATTCTGGCCACCAGGGGAGCTGTCGCTTCAACGATAATTTGTGACACTGACGAAGTACTTCCTCATTCTTTGCATGCTTGCTGGAGATTTTTATGGCCTCGTAAATTGGTTAAATGTGCCTCCCCACATAAGCGGTACCTAAATTTCCTACTTGGCAGATGTAACTGTCTTTCGGGCTGCAAAGGTTGACAGTAAGCTATACAAAATTGGTCAGATGCTCACTTCGACCCGGGCTGGTTTTGAACTCAAGATCTTTCGGTCAGTAGTGATCTTAATGCAGCTGACTCCCAGCAGTCACTGCTCCAAGAACACAGCTCTAACATAAATTGAAACGGAAACTGTTAAAGAGAAAAAAGAAAAAGAGAAGTAGTGGAGCTTTGTGCTTTCACTCACAGATACTGGCGCTGCTCCTCCTGGAAGTGCTCCTTGCTCTCCATGCTGTGCTCCAGCAAGCGCCGGTTCTCCCTGCTCAGGGCTTGGATCTCCTGGAGAAGGTGACGGTTCTCCTCCTCCTGGTTCCCCTTCAACTGGGCCAGGAGCTATCCAACAGCCAGAAGAAAGGGCATTCCATCAATGCGTGCAGCAGGCAAAATACGCTTGGATCCAGTGTCACAACCCTTTGTGTTTAGTGCAACTTATATATCAGTTTGGGAGTCCTCCTGGACTCATCGCTTTCGCTTGAGGCTCATGCGTTGGCGGTGTCTGGGAGGGCTTTCGCACAATTAAGATTCGTGCGCCAACTGCGACCGTACCTCGCGAAGGCTGATCTGGCCGGAGTGGTCCATGCCTTGGTCACCTCTAGGTTGGATTACTGTAATGCGCTCTACGTGGGGCTGCCCTTAAAAACGGCTCGGAAATTCCAACTGGTCCAACGAGCAGCAGCCAGGATGTTAACCGGCACTCCTTACAGAGAGAGGTCAACCCTCCTGTTCAAGGAGCTCCACTGGCTGCCATTTACCTACCGAGCCCAATTCAACGTGCAGGTGCTTACCTACAAAGCCCTGAACGGTTTGGGACCATTCTACCTGCGTGATCGCATCTCCGTCTACGAACCCACGTGTTCACTTCGGTCATCTGGAGAGGCCCTGCTCGTGATCCCGCCTGCGTCGCAAGCACGTTTGGTGGGGACACGAGACAGGGCCTTTTCCGTGGTGGCCCCCCCGTCTCTGGAACATCCTCCCCAAAGACCTTAGACAGGCCCCTACATTGGCAGTCTTCAGAAAGAACTTGAAGACCTGGCTGTTCCGATGTGCCTTCCCCGAATAGGAAACCTCCAATACCAAGTCCCAGAAGCACTTTATTAAATTAAGATTGCCGCACACTGCACTTGCCCTATTAGCCTTATAGTCCACCTGTCACACCAGCACTTTTTAACTCTTGTACCCATTACTCTGGCCCGGCCCAGTTTTATTGTGTCTTAGTGTATTGTTCATTGCTTGTTGTTTAGATTGCTTTAATTGTTTTTAATTTGCCTTAGGTTTTGTATTGTGTGTTGAGGCCTTGGCCTTTGTAAGCCGCATTGAGTCTTTCGGGAGATGCTAGCGGGATACAAATAAAGTTTAATAATAATTAAAAATAATAATATTTTAGGACCTTACTTACTTACTTAGACGATCCCTCATTGTCCGAGTAGGATAGTCTTCCAAGATCAGTATTCTGGTGGGCCCGTAGGTGACTGTGGAGCCCTATTCTTGATCTGCATCTTCTTCTGCCGTGAGCACATTGGTTTCCAGGTGGAAGGCGATCTCAGTTGGGGTTGGCTTGCCGTGCCTTCCTCTTGGCATGTTTCTCTCTTTCGCTCTCTATTTGTGCCTCTCCAAATGCTACAGCACTGCTGGTCACAGCTGACCTCCAGCTGGAGCGCTTAAGGGCCAGGGCTTCCCAGTTCTCAGTGTCTATGCCAGAGTTTTGAACCCATTTTTCAATCTCTTTTCTTGCCCATAAGCATTCCATTTTCCGTTCTTGAGTTCAGAGTAGAGCAACTGCTTTGGGAGACGGTGGTCGGGCATCTGGATAACATGGCCGATCCAGCGGAGTTGATGGCAGAGTACCATCGCTTCAATGCTGGTGGTCTTGGCTTCTTCCAGCACACTGACATTTGTCTGCTTGTCTTCCCAAAAGATTTACAGGATTTTCCGGAGGCAGCTCTGATGGAATTGTTCCAGGAGTTGCATGTGACGTCTGTAGACTGTCCACGTCTCGCAAGCGTATAGAAGGGTTGGGAGGACAATAGCTTTATAAACAAGCACCTTGGTCTCCTTACGGATGTCCTGGTCCTCAAACACTCTCTGCTTCATTCGGAAAAATGCTGCACTCGCAGAGCTCAGGCGGTGTTGTATTTCAGTGTCAATGTTGACATCTGTAGGCAGTCCACGTCTCGCAGGCGTATAGCAGGGTTGGGAGGACAATAGCTTTATAAAGAAGCACCTTGGTATCCCTACAGATGTCCTGGTTCTCAAACACTCTCTGCTTCATTCGGAAAAAAGCTGCACCTGCAGAGCTCAGGCGGTGTTGTATTTCAGTGTCAATGTTGACATCTGTAGACAGTCCATGTCTCGCAAGCATATAGCAGGATTGGGAGGACAATAGCTTTATAAACAAGCACCTTGGTATCCCTACGAATGTCCCGGTCTTCAAACACTCTCTGCTTCATTGGGAAAAATGCTGCACTCGCAAACCTCAAGCGGTGTTGTATTTCAGTGTCAATGTTGACATCTGTAGACAGCCCATGTCTCGCAAGCATATAGCAGGGTTGGGAGGAGAATAGCTTTATAAACAAACACCTTGGTCTCCCTACGGATGTCCCGGTTCTCAAATACTCTCTGCTTCATTCAGAAAAAAGTTGTCCTTCACCCTTCTCCAGAGAGCCCTGAACCCACCTGACATTGCTAACCTAAACTTGGCACACACCCCCTCCTGACGGATGGCCATCTGTCGGGTGGGCTTTGATGGTGTCTTCTCTTCCTGGTGGAAAGGTGTTGGACTTGGTGGCCATTAGGGCCTCTCCCTACTCTTCTATGGTTCTAAAAACCATATATACCTGACTATACGTACCTCGCATTGGGTGCTCAGGCGGCCCAGTGCCGTGTCCAGCTGCTGGTTCTGCTCCTTGAGGGCTGCATTTTCGGCCTCTAGCCTGGCGTGATCCAGCTGCAGGCTGGTGACTCTGTTCCGCATCCCTCGAAGCTCCTCCTGGAGCTCATCCCAACCCCGTTCCTTCTGGGCCAGCGTCTGTTTCACCCTGGAAAGAGGGCCAGAAATGTTGCAGGCTGTCAAAACCACTCTTTGCTTGAATATATACTACTACTACTACTAATAATAATAATAATTATTATTATTATTTATTTATTTATTTATTTATCGTGTCATCAGCAACCAGATATTTGTATTACATTTTTAACAAAAACAAACAAACAGACAAAACACAAAGTTTGCAGGCTTGGTAGTTGATTAGATGTCCTTTGACCAGTATCTGGCCACTTGGAGTGCCTCTGGTGTTGCCGCAAGAAGGTCCTCCAGTGTTCAAGTGGCAGGGCTCCCTCCGGTTGCATTGCAGCAGGTGGTCAGTGGTTTGCTCCTCTCCACACTTGCATGTCGTGGATTCCACCCTGTAGCCCCGTTTCTAAAGGTTGGCTCTGCATCTCATGGTGCCAGAGCGCAGTCTGTTCAGCGCCTTCCAAATCGCCTAGTCTTCTGTGTGCCCAGGGAGGAGTCTCTCATTTGGTATCAGCCATTGATTGAGGTTCTGAGTTTGAGCCTGCCACTTTTGGACTCTTGCTTGCTGAGGTGTTCCAGCAGGTGTCTCTGTAGACTTTAGAAAACTATTTCTTGATTTAAGTCGTTGACGTGCTGGTTGATACCCAAACAGGGGATGAGCTGGAGATGTCTCTGCCTTGGTCCTTTCACTATTGGCTGCTACTTCCCAGCGGATGTCAGGTGGTGCAATACCGGCTAGACAGTGTAATTTCTCCAGTGGTGTAGGGCGCAGACACCCCGTGATAATGCGGTATATCTCATTAAGACCCACATGCCCTGTTTTAGCATGGTGAGATGCGTTCCACACCGGGCATGCATACTCAGCAGCAGAGTAGCATAGCGCAAGGGCAGGCGTCTTCACTGTGTCTGGTTGTGATCCCCAGGTTATGCCAGTCACCTTTCGTATGATATTGTTTCTAGCACCCACTTTTTACTTGATGTTCAGGCAGTGCTTCTTGTAGGTCAGAGCACGGTCCAGAGTGACTCCCAGGTATTTGGGTGCGCTGCAATGCTCCAGTGGGATTCCTTCCCAGGTCATCTCAGAGCTCGGGATGCTTGTCTGTTCTTAAGGTGAAAGGCACATGTCTGTGTTTTAGATGGGTTAGAGCTCAGCTGGTTTTCCCTGTAGTAGGCGGTAAGGGCACCTAGAGCTTCGGAGAGCTTCAGTTCAACCATCTCAAAGCACCCTGCTTGAGCGGTGATGGCACAATCATCAGCATAGATGAAGCTCTCTGTCCCTTCTGGCAGTGGCTGGTCATTTGTGTAGATGTTGAATATGGATGGAGCGAGCACGCTCCCCTGAGGCAGGCCGTTCTTCTGTTTCCGCCATCTGCTTCTCTGGCCCTGGAACTCAACAAAAAAGCTCCTGTTTTGTAGCAGGTTTCCTATGAGGCGGGTGAGGTGGTCATCCTTTGTGATATTATACATTTTTCTCAGGAGGAGGCGGTGGTTCACCGTATCCTAAGCCGCTGACAGGTCTATGAAGACAGCTCCTGTGATCTGCCGCCTTTCAAAGCCATCTTCTATGTGCTGAGTCAGGTTCGGCACTTGCAATGTGCAGCTTTTGCCTTTCCTGAAGCCAACTTCCTGTGGGATCAGACGGGTCTATTTTGTCCGTAATTCTGAAGAGAATTACAGAGAAGACAATGATGCTGGGGAAAATGGAAGGAAAAAGGAAGAGGGGCCAACCAAGGGGAAGATGGATGGATGGCATCCTTGAAGTGACTGGATTGACCTTGAAGGGAGTTGGGGGTGGTGACGGCCGACAGGGAGCTCTGGCGTGAGCTGGTCCATGAAGTCACGAAGAGTCGGAAATGACTGAACGAATGAACAACAACAATAATTTCTCTATTTACAGCTCTAAGCTGTTTTTGAACTGCTTAGGTAAACAGTGAGTTCGGCTGACACGGCGACTCGGGGCTTCGAACTGACAACTTTTTGGTTGGTAGATCTTATAATTGCTGGTGATTTACCAGTTGTGCTAAAGCCCGGCCCAATACCCATCATGACCACTCCCCTTACCGCTCATGCTCCTCTTTCAGGTTGTTGTGCTGCTCCTCCAGTTCTTGCTGGTGTCGCGCTGCCTCCTCCAATTGCACCTTCTGTCCCCGTAATGCCTCTTCTCGATGTTCGAGATTAGCCTTCTGCCCTAATAGCTGGCTATGCCTGCAAGAAGACAAGGGCAGGATGAATTCTGACTGCACAGCAGTAGTCAAACTGTTTAGGAAAGCCACTGGCCTTCCTCGAAATCGAGTTATATTCTCCAGTGACACCACTGCTGAACACCACTGTTCAGCAATGGAACTCTCTGCCCCGGAGTGTGGTGGAGTCTCCTTTGGAGGCTTTTAAGCAGAGGCTGGATGGCCATCTGTCGGGAGTGCTTTGAATGTGATTATCCTGCTTCTTGGCAGAATGGGGTTGGACTGGATGACCCACCATGTCTCTTCCTGCTCTATGATTCTATGATTCCAGCAAGCCTGCAAAGAATGAGGAAGTAACAGGAGACACAATCCTATTGGCAAAGTTCAAACCAGAGTCCCAGGTACAAGCAATGAAACAATTGCCCCATGAATCACCATGCAAGAAATCCCAAGCGTACTGCTTTCCAGGCTAAGGTTATTCCATGAAGCTTTCAGGCTAGTAAGCTACGTTGAACTGACGCTTTCTCAGAATTTGAGAGACCTACATACCTTTCTAACATGAAAACATTAGGCTCTCATCATCATAAAAGCATTGCGATGACCTTTCACCGAGCTGGCTTCTCATCCGCTGGCCAGACGAGAACTCCACCTGACTCGGAGATCAAGACGAGCTTGCCGGGTCAAGTCACTATCTACACTTTCGGTATCAGCGTGGGAAGGCACCTGCTCGCTATCTCCTTCGTTAAAATTCCTTTCTGGTGAGAACGGCTGTGTTGACACTGCATGGTCTGTGAGAGCCTCAGAAGCAGGCCCAGAGATTTGAGGCACAGACAAAGAGCCAGGAAGCTGAATCCCAGCAGGAATCTGAATCCCATCACCCTCATCATCATCAGAAAATAGCTCAGCCACAACACCTATGCCCTCAACGCACCTGTCTTGCAGTTCCCGGGATTCCTGCTCCAGACGGCGCAGGTTCCCCTTGAGTTTGACATGTTTCCCCAGCAGCTCCTCCAGATCAGCTCCCTGCCGTTCGTGCAGCACCGTCAGGCGGTCGTGGTCGCGCAGAAGAGCCTCATAGCGGGCCCGCCACTCCTCTCGCTCGCGCTGGGTTCTCTGAGCCTCGGCCTCCAGGGCGGACTGCCTCTGTCGCAGATCCGAGAGCTGAGATTCCAGGGACGCTTTCTGGAAATGCAGGGATGCGGCCTCTACCTGGCAAGTTTGTGCGGTAGCAGGTCAAAGAGGGAGACAAAGGGGGACAGTAAATTCCTTGGACTCAGGATCTTGGCTTTGTGCATTTAATAATAAGTGGGTGTGTTTTCTATATCATGATTTCTATATTTCTATATTTCTCCCTGTGTGCCTGACCTTTTCCTGACCCTTTTGCCCAATTCCCCTTTATTGAAAAAAATGTATAAAAATATAAGAAGCCACCTCTGTGACCCTGGAAAGGAGGAAATCGTCAGTTGGAAAAGACCCTTATCAAAAGACCCTATTTGCGTGGACAATAACAAAGGATCGTGACCTCTGGCCTCGGAGTTGGCCCCCCAGAGAAAGCGGTCACTTGGCATTTATGATCATATCTCAATAGGACAAAGGAAGCCTTTGGAAAACCACACCTTGTCCTAATCTGTTACTTATTCAACTTTTATTCACTGAAACCACAGCCAAAATTCCCTCATTGTTCCTGTCTCTCAGCACTGGAAAAGTCCAGATTATGGCAGGTTTGCCAGCCACCGACTTGCTGGGTCAAGTCACTATCTACACCAGTGTTTCTCAACCTTCCTAATGCCATGACCCCTTTTACTCTATTAGTGGTATTATTACATTTACATTATTTTACTTTATTATTGTTATTACATTTATTATTTTATTCTATTATTATTGTTATTACATTTATTATTTTACTCTATTATTGGTATTATTACATTATATTCCGGTCGGCTTATACTTGAGTATATATGGTACTATATTAGAATACGCAGAACTAAGATTAAAATCTAGTGAACACAAGACACGGCTTTAAAACGCATGCTTAAACCTGACTGGTACAATGACAGTTCATAGAATTATAGAATAATAGAGTTGGAAGAGACCCTAATGGCTGTCAAGTTCAACCCCATTCTGCCATACAGGAGAACACAATTAAAGCACCCCCAACAGATGGCCATCTAGCCTCTGCCATTATACTATGTGACAAAATTTGGGGGGAAAAATCTGTTCCTGGTTTGAAAGTGTTATTTTCTCTTCAATTGTGTGTTAATTACTTTGAAAGTAGTTGTACTCTAGAAACTTCTTTTCCGTGGCTGAAGGTAGTGCTATTATTCCCTTGGCACATTGTTTGTAATTTTCCTTAATGAAATTGTGCCATTTTTAACCTTGGCGCAGACCACAAAAACTCAATATTGGGGCCTGCGCGCCATCTAGTGGTTGTTCCAGACATTTACATGAATCTCTGGAGCAGTGTTTATAGTGGAAGATGCTTCAGCTGTACTTCATAAAAAGGGAAAAATCACCTTGCAAATGCTGACTTGTTATTGTCATATTAAAATGATGTGCAGATCTGATAAATGTGGATTTCATATGTGTGGGTATGAATGAACTGAAGGACAGGTTGCAGGTTCGAATCCAGGGAGAGCGCGGATGAGCTCCCTCTGTCAGCTCCAGCTCCCCATGCAGGGACATGAGAGAAGCCTCCCACAAGGATGGTAAAACATCAAAACATCCGGGTGTTCTCTGGGCAACGTTCTTGCAGACAGCCAATTTGCTCACACCAGAAGCGACTTGCCGTTTCTCTTATACTCGAGTATATACAGTAATTTTTATTGTGTTATACACACACAAAGAAGTACAATCATTTTGTTGGAATTTACATAGAAAGTGGGAGAACACTAAGTTTATAGGAAAGTAGGAAAATATTTAAGAAATATTTAAGAAAAGATAGAAAAAGACAAAGGAGAGAGAGAAAAAGAAAAAAAGGGGGGGAAAGGAAGAAAAACAATGTGCAAAAATACCTAAATAAAATAGAAAAAATAGAAAAAAAACTAAGTGAAAAAAAGAGAAAAGGTACTGTATATACTCGAGTATAAGCCTAGTTTTTCAGTCCTTTTTTAGGCTGAAAAAGTCTCCCCCGGCTTATACTCGAGTCAATGTTATTTATTATTTTACTTTGTTGTTGTTGTTGTTATTATTATTATTATTATTATTATTATATTTATTATATTTATTATTTTATTATTGTTTTTATTATTAGATTTATTATTTTTCTCTATTGTTATTGTTATTATTATTACATTTATTATTTTACTGTATTGTTATTATTATTATTACATTTATTATTTTACTCCATTGTTATTGTTACATTTATTATTTTACTCTATTATTATTATTATTTTACTCTATTTATTATTATTGGAGGACATGTAAATATATTTACATTGAAGAAGGTTAGAATAATGGTTTAATCAGAGTTGGACAGTCTTATGCTGAATTACAGTTTTATGTAAATATTCAAAAACATTTAACCTACTAATGCCTAAATTAATATAATTTTATTGGTATCTATTTTTATTTTGAAATTGACCCATAAATGCTGCATTTCCCACCTTCGGCTTATACTCGAGTCAATACACTTTCCCAGTTTTTTGTGGTAAAATTAGGTGCCTCGGCTTATATTCGGGTTGGCTTATACTCGAGTATATATGGTATATGGTTAGTTTTGTTATCACCAGTAGCTGCTGCATTTCCCACCCTCGTCTTATACTCGAGTCAATAACTTTTCCCAGTTTTTTGAGTTATAATTAGGTGCCTCGGCTTATATTTGCATTGGCTTATACTTGAGTATATTCGGTATGTGCCGTCACACCCAGATCCTATAAAATTAAAACTAAGATGTGCTTCTCTCTTTGTCTGAGCGGACCGCGGGGGTCCTTCTTTAGAAGCTCAAAAATTCTCAGCAACTGAGGCCACTTCAGGTTTGGAACATCAAAACAGAATATTTATTTCTCAAAGTCCTTGCAGACTTGGCACAGCTTGTCAAAGTTACAAACAAAACAGTCAATTGGTGAAACCATAGAGATGACCTTTCTTTCTTTTTCCTTCAGTTACTGAGGTAACTCTTCCCCAAATGGTAGAAAATATCCTGGGATCCCTTCACCCTAACCCTGAGCTGCTATGCTTAGAAAAACAGGTTTTTCCCTATCTATAGATCAAGGTTAGCTTTGGAGATGAAGTAATGCTCAATAATATTCAATAACTTGATATCTAGCTATAACTCAATTGCTCACTTGCTATCTATTTATCTCAATTAGACCCAATATTACTCAATCATATCTCAATTGCTATTCTATCTATCTATCTATCTATCTATCTATCTATCTATCTATCTCAATTAGCTTCTTTATCTATATAAGTCAATCACTCAATCAACTCAATCATACTTACAATGATTTTTTTCAGAGCTACCTGCCTGACCAACAGCACATCTGAAGCTTTCTTTCTCTACTGAAGGAGGCAAGGGAGATTCCAAAATGGAGATCTCATCCCCTGGAAAAAAGGCGGTCCCTAGACCCAAAGAGATACTTTTCTAAATCAATAACTGCAGAGGGCCTGCAGTCTGGCTTTGCAGGCTCTGATACTGTTTAACTTCCAGGGTGCTGCTGGGTCTGTAGCAGCCGTGGGGAAATGCAAAGGAACTGTGACGGCGCGAGTGGCGCCACCTATATGTATAACTGTTAGTTGCAAGATTTAAACTGTTGTATCATGCTTAATCCTGCCTTTTTACCCTAGTTGGATTGATTGGTTATTTATAGCTGTCAATCAATGTTGTTTGCACCAGTTGAATTGCTTTCTCAGCTCAATTGTTTGGCTCTTCCTGGAGGAGGGGAGCACTTCCCTTTTTCGTTCCACCATCAGATTTTCTACCAGATGGACGTGAGAAAGAGACTTGGCTCTAAAAGCCCTTGATTAAGTTACCTCTCAGCACCAATTCTGAGGTTCTTACCCTTGAGACTTATGGTTCATGTTCAGATCAACCTGAATGACGTTGGGAAGTCTCAAGTGCCTTCAAACCAGTTCTTTTGGCACCAGAGGAAGACTTTGTGTCTTCAAACATAGGCCATTTGGACTGGAGTTGTGGATTGCTCCGGCATTCACAGCCACAGAGAAAGAGGGACCCGGACAACACTTGAGAGGCAAACGCTCACCTTCAGTGCGTTGTTCTCAGACTGCCATTTCCCACTTTCTTCCTTAACTTCCGAGTTCTGGCCTTGCAGACCTAAGAGCGATCCTTGGAGGTTGCTTATCTGTGACTCCAATTGGCTTAAGCGTCCTATTAGTGTGAATTTCTCAGCCTGGAGAACGGTATTCTGTAAAGGCAGTTAGAGATGCATAGTGGTATTAATACAGTCTCTATTTATAATCATAACACTTCCTTTCTTCCTATTCTTATTCATTATCAAAACCACAAATCACTGATCTATTGTGTCTTGATTCTGTAACAAACAATCAATCTATATAAATAAAAATGTAATTTTCGTTTGTGAGATTAACAGAACTCAAAAACCACTGGACGAATTGACACCAAATTTGGACACAAGACACCTAACAACCCAATGTATGTCCTTCACTCAAAAAAATTGATTTTTAAATATTTAAAATATTAAAATTGACTTAAATATCATTAGTATAAAAAGGGAAAGACGAGAAAATGAAACGGAATCCAGGAAACGTGTAATTACCAAGCAAAGAGGTCTCTTGCTGGCATTTCCTCGCCATCCTGTACTCACCTTACATTCCACTTCATTGAGTCTCGCACTCAGGGCTTGGCTACATGCCTCTGAGTGGAGGGGCAGCAGGTCAGGGTTGAGTTCACTCGGAGTCTCCAAAACCTGATTCATGGGCAGCTTCTCCAGAAACTGTGGAAAAGTAACAACAATGCCTGAGATTTTGGATATTTTGCTTGCTAAAAAACTGGGCAATTCCGTGGGTTCATAATGTTTGCAAGTCTGAAGCTTTGCATAATAATAATAACAATAATAATAATAATAATAATAATAATAGTAATAGTAATTGTTGTTTTTATTACTATTGGGTTGCTGTGAGTTTTCCAGGCTGTCTGGCCATGTTCCAGAAGCATTTTCTCCTGACATTTCTCCCACATCTATGGCAGTAATCCTCAGAGGGTGGGAGGTCTGTTGGAAACTAGGCAAGTGGGGTTTATATATCTAGAATGATGTCCAGAGTGGGAGAAAGAACTCTTGTCTGCTTAAGGAAGTGTGAATGTTGCCATTGGCCACCTTGATTAGCACTAAATAGCCTTGCAGCTTCAAAGCCTTCTCACTACCACACCAGAGGCACTCCAAGCAGCCCGCTTCTGGTGAAAGGAAATCTAGTATAAAGGTAAAGGTTTCCCCTTGACATTAAGTCTAGTCATGTTCGACTCGGAGAGGTGGTGCTCATCTCCTTTTCAAAGCCAAAGAGCCGGCACTGTCCATAGACACCTTCAAGGTCACGTGGCCAGCTTGACTGCATGGAGTGCCATTACCTTCCCATCAAAGTGGTACTTAGTGATCTACTCACATTTGCATGTTTTCGAACTACTAGGTTGGCAGAAGCTGGGGCTTACAATGGGAGCTCAGCCCACTCCCTGGATTCGAACCACCAACTTTTTGGTCGGCAAGTTCAGCAGCTCAGAGGTTTAACCCGCTGCGCCAGTGGGGGCTTAGAAATCTAGTATAATGCCAAGTTTTTCACATTGTTTGTATGTTTTGCAAATACATTATAACATGTCAGGAGTCAATTTCTGACGGCATGAAGACATCACAATTTCCCTCCGTGACATCCTGACTGAATCATCCTGGCTGAATCAATTCTCTCTCTCTGACATTTTGAAGCCAACAGAGGGTGCTGGGAACTTTGTATTGGAACTTGTGAAGCAACAAGTTCTAATAAGGAAATTGAGAAGAGGGGGGAGATGGGCAGGAAAGGTGTATAAAAGGAAGTGGTGGTGGGGAAAAGTCAGAAGTGTCTTTCTTTGCTGCAGAGATACAAGCAATATATCCATTTCAAAGCAAAAATGGCTTGTGAGTGGTCATTTAATATTGCTATATAAATCCTACAGTCTTACAATAACTGTACCCTCAGTTCGCTTCTGACATGATAAATAAGTAAATACCTGATGGTTGCTTGTGTGTTGGGGCACAAGATCCTGCCTTCCTTCACTCTGCGATATGTGTGTGCTGCTCTCTTCCTTCAGCCTCTTGTCGGAAGGTCCCTCTTGCTGTTCCTCGCTATAGATGTGGTTTGAGTCCAGAAAAAGGAAAAAAAATACATTACTAAGGGTCTGGAAAAGTTAATTTTGCACGATGATGTACACCAGTGGTTCTCAACCCTCCTAATGCCGCGACTTTGTAATACAGTTCCTCCTGTTGTGGTGACCCTCAACCATAAAATTATTTTCATTGCTACTTCATAACTGTCATTTTTCTACTGTTATGAATCGTAATGTAAATATATAACATGCATTTACTGGACCAAATTTGGCACAATTACCCGATATGCCCAAATTTGAATACTGCTGGGGTTGGAGGGGGGAATTTGGGAATTGTAGTTGCTGGGAGTTGTAGTTCACTTACAATCAAAGAGCATTCTGAACTCCACCAACGATGGAATTGAACCAAACTTGGCACACAGAACTCCCACAACCAACTGAAAATACGGGAAGGGTTTGGTGGGCATTGACCTTGAGTTTTGGAGCTGTAGTTCACCTACATCCAGAGAGCACAGTGGATTCAAACAATGATGGATTCAGACCAAACTTGGTATGAATACTCAATATGCCAAAATGTGAACACTGGTGGAGTTTGGGGAAACCAGACCTTGACGTTTGGGAGTTGTAGTTGCTGGGATTTAGAGTTCACCTACAATCAAAGAGCATTCCGAACTCCACCAACGATGGAATTGAACCAAACTTGGTACACAGAACTCCCACGACCAACTGAAAATATGGGAAAGGTTTGGTGGGCATTGACCTTGAGTTTTGGAGTTGTAGTTCACCTACATCCAGAGAGTACTGTGGACTCAAACAATGAGGGATTGGGACCAAACTTGGCACAAATACTCAATGTGCCCAAATGAGAACACTGGTGGAGTTTGGGGAAACTACCTTGATATTTGGGAGTTGTAGTTGCTGGGATTTAAAGTTCACGTACAATCAACGAGCATTCTGAATCCCACCAATGACAGAATTGGGTCAGACGTCCTACACAGAACCCCCATGCCTTGAAGGGACTTGCTGGCACAAGCCTCTCTCCGGCCTCGCATGCTCTCCCTTGCCTGCGCATGCGCACCATGCTTCCATGTGCCAAGCACGCCTGCTCTCCCTTCCCCACTTGGACTCTCAGAAACTGCCCTCCCCTTGGCTGAGAGGCCAGCCAATCACAGTGGAGAAGGGCTTTTGGTGGGAGGATCCTTGTTTGGAATCTCAGCCAGATTATTTCTCAAATGGGTACTGACTGGCATGCCGTAAGACTGGGAAAACGGGGGTCGGCAACGTACCTACCTCCATTTCCTGCTTTCCACATCTATCTGAGAACTCCTTGTCTTTTCCAACAGTGATTCGTTTAGTTGGATCGAGATAGTTTCCTTACTTCTTTTTTCTTTTTCCCTTTGGAGTTCCTGCAATAATTAGAAAGGAAAAGAAAGGACGTGGTCTACGTTGGGCAAGTGGGCTTATTAACAAAAGACCCTCCTCATAAATGCACAGCAGAGTAACTTATTAGCAGCAGCGTGACCCAAACCCAGTAGCCTAAAGTGATAAAAAGAATAAAAACACACAGACTAAAGTTATCTCTTCCATTGGAAGCTTTTCTTTGTAGTAAATAACATGGTTGTACTACTTACAAGAACAAGATTTCCACGACACAAATAAAGTTCTTTATACTTCCTTCTTTGCTTCCACACTGGGCTTTTTCCTTATGCAGAGAAACAGCTTCACTCTCACAGAGCCTCCTCTCACACAGAACAAGAGCTTCACACAGTAGCTTTTTCTACACAGCAGTCTTCACACTGGAGCTTCTCTCACTGAAACTTCTCACACTAGGCCTTCTCACATTCGGCCTTCTCATAGACTAAGGCCTACTTCACACAGAGGCTTTTCTCACAGACTAAGGCCTACCTCTAACGGCGCTCCATGCAGTCATGCCGGCCACATGACCTTGGAGGTGTCTACGGACAACGCTGGCTCTTCGGCTTGGAAATGGAGATGAGCACCACACCCCAGAGTCAGACATGACTGGACTTAATGTCAGGGGACTACCTTTACCTTTACCTTAAGGCCTACCTCACACTGTGAGGCCTTCTCTCACAGACTAAGGTCTATTTCACACAGGCTTCTCTAACAGACTAAGGTCTACCTCATATTGTTAGGCCTTCTCATAGATTGAGACCTTTCTCCCACTGAGGTTTACCTCAGAATGATGGCTATTAAGCTACAGGCACACCTGCTTATATAGAACTGCAGTCATTGAATTCATTTAACTTCTCACACTAGGCCTTCTCACATTCGGCCTTCTCGTAGACTGGGGCCTACCTCACACAGAGGCTTTTCTCACAGACTAAGGTCTACCTCACACCGTGAGACCTTCTCTCACAGACTAAGGCCTATTTCACACAGGCTTCTCTCAAAGACTAAGGCCTACCTCATATTGTTAGGCCTTCTCATAGACTGAGATCTTTCTCACACTGAAATTTACCTCGGAATGATGGCTATTAAGCTACAGGCATACCTGCTTATATAGAACTGCAGTCATTGCATTCATTTAACCCTTTCAGTCATTGCATTCATTTAATTTCTCACACTAGGCCTTCTCACATTCGGTCTTCTCATAGACTAAGGCCTACCTTACACAGAGGCTTTTCTCACAGACTAAGGCCTACCTCACACTGTGAGACCTTCTCTCACAGACTAAGGCCTACTTCACACAGGCTTCTCTCAAAGACTAAGGCCTACCTCATATTGTTAGGCCTTCTCATAGATTGAGACCTTTCTCCCACTGAGGTTTACCTCAGACTGACAGCTATTAAGCTACAGGCACACCTGCTTATATAGAACTGCAGTCATTGCATTCTTTTAACTTCTCACACTAGGCCTTCTCACATTCAGCCTTCTCATAGACTAAGGCCTACTTCACACAGAGGCTTTTCTCACAGACTAAGGCCTACCGCACACTGTGAGGCCTTCTCTCACAGACTAAGGCTTACTTCACACAGGCTTTTCTCAAAGACTAAGGCCTACCTCATATTGTGAGGCCTTCTCATAGACTTAGACCTTTCTCCCACTGAGGTTTATCTCAGACTGATGGCTATTAAGCTACAGGCACACCTGCTTATATAGAACTGCAGTCATTTCATTCATTAAACACTTTCAGTCATTGCATTCATTCAACTTCTCACATTCGGCCTTCTCACAGACTACAGCCTACCTCACACAGAGGCTTTTCTCACAGACTAAGTCCTACCTCACACTGTGAGGCCCTCTCTCACAGACTAAGGCCTACTTCACACAGGCTTCTCTCACAGACTAAAGCCTACCTTATGTTGTGAGGCCTTCTCATAGACTTAGACCTTTCTCCCACTGAGGTTAACCTCAGATTGAGGGCTATTAAGCTACAGGCACACTTGCTTATATAGAACTGCAGTAATTGCATTCATTTAACCCTTTCAGTCATTGCATTAATTTAGCTTTTCACACTAGGCCTTCTCACATTCGGCCTTCTCATAGACTAAGGCCTACCTCACACAGAGACTTCTCTCACAGACTAAGGCCTACCTCACACTGTGAGGCTTTCTCTCACAGACTAAGGCCTACCTCATATTGTTAGGCCTTCTCATAGACTTAGACCTTTCTCCCACTGAGGTTTACCTCAGAATGATGGCTATTAAGCTACAGGCACACCTGCTTATATAGAACTGCAGTCATTGCATTCATTTAACTTCTCACACTAGGCCTTCTCACATTCGGCCTTCTCATAGACTAAGGCCTGCCTCATACAGAGGCTTTTCTCAGAGACTAAGGTCTACCTCATATTGTGAGGCCTTCTCTGAGACCTTTCTCCCACTGAGGTTACCTCAGATTGACGGCTATTAAGCTACAGGCACACCTGCTTATATAGAACTGCAGTCATTGCACTCATTTAACCCTTTCAGTCATTGCATTCATTTAACCCCGGTGGTGCAGTGGGTTAAACCCCTGTGCTGGCAGGACTGAAGACCGACAGGTCACAGGTTCAAATCCGGGGAGAGCGCGGATGAGCTCCCTCTATCAACTCCAGCTCCTCATGCGAGGACATGAGAGAAGCCTCCCACAAGGATGATAAAATATCAAAACATCCTGGTGTCCCCTGGGCAATGTCCTTGCAGACGGCCAATTCTCTCACACCAGAAGCGACTTGCAGTTTCTAAAGTCGCTCCTGACACGACAAAAAAACAAAACAAAACACTTTCAGTGCTTGATTCACGTTTTTGTAAATAAAAATACCAAGTTAATTATTAATATTAATTATTACTATTTCTGACAATCTATGCATTGAGTCCCCTGCGGGGTGAGAAGGACAGAATATAAGTACTGTAAATAAATAAATAATAAATAGTGTATCCACTATGGGACCCTCAAGAGTCCAGATCTAACAGTGGGAGTTGAAGTCCAAAACACCTGGAGGGCTGAAGTTTGCCCATGCCTGGTCCAGATTCATCCCCATGGTGACCCAAATGATGTAGTCCTTGGTGGACATTCAAGAGACCAGATTCACCCCAACATTCCTATTTATTACCTCCTCCAGGGTGGCTAAGGCTTCGTGCTTGGCCTCCAACTGCTCTCGCAAGCCAGCAACCTCCATCTCCAGTTCCTTGTGACCTTGAGCAACCTCTTGTAGGCTGTTCAGCTCCATCGCTTGCTGCCGGGATTGTCCCTCGAGGTGAACGAGACGGAGTTTTTGCTTTTCTAGTGCCTTCTCCTGGGCTTGAGCCTGGGCCTTCAATTGCCGGTTGTCCTTATCTAGTTGCCGCCGGTGGGCCTCAGCTTGACTCAGGAGGTCCTCCAGAAGAGCCTTCTCAGCCTCCAGCTGAGCCAGAGCGACTTTGTGCTGCTCCAGGATGCGTTGCACCATCTCCAGCTCCTGCCGAGCTTCGCAAAGGTCTTCTCCTATTTGCTGGGCCTTCTGGGCCAGTTGAGTGCCTTTTAGCTGTTCGCCTTGAAGACGTCGCTTGGTCTCCGCCAATTCCAGTTCGGTCCGAGCGGCCAGCGCCTGCAAAGCTTGGGAACCGGCCTGGAGGGCTTCCTGCTCTCGTTCCAAGGCCTGGACCTCTTCCACGAGGTGCTCCGTCTCTGAATGCCACTCCATACGCTCTTGTTTGTGCTTCTCATGAGCTTCCTGAAGACTCCTCAGTCTGTTTTCAAGGGTCACAACACGATGGGACGCTTTCTCCCGATACTCCTCAGCCTCTTTGAACTGGGCTTGAGCTTCCAACAGAGCTGCTGCCATCCTGGCCATGCGCTCATCAGTCTCTGACCCCTTTTCTGGGACCACAACCTCTTGTTTCTGCTCCTCTTGGGACTTCAATAAAGGTTGCTCCTCCATCTTTGGTTCCAAAGGGTTTTCTGGAGATTGTAGCTAAAGGGAACCCAAAGGACAGAATGTGTTAGTGCCAAGAAGTTGTTCCTAATGTTTAGGTGGAATATTGGAACACCCTTTTTGTGGTGTAGGAACATCTCTTTATTTTCTTCTTGTTATTTATGATATCAGAGATGACCCCCCCCCCCCCCCCCCCCCCAGGACTCTGCAAAAGATGGTTCAAAACCGAGGAATTCATAGTTTTACCAAGAACACCAGGTTGGAATGATCTCTCCTCCATGTGGGAACTAAGGCTCTTTCCATGGCCCCACATGGTAAGGCACCTGTAATCCACACTTTATGGACTTTTCTATGAACTTTTACAAATCTTTAATCAACTTTTCATGGACTTTGGAACTCTTATGGACCCTATAGCAAACCCTTATGATATTTCACTGATCTATATGAACCTTTGGTGGGCTGTGGAGGGACGGAGGGTCGACAGGGCTCCCTTGACCTTGCATGGTTCATCCCTTATGATTTCCTTGTATGTTCCCTTTTCCCATTATATGTGTGTATATCTATATTTATGAAATACTAGCTATCCCCTGCCACGTGTTGCTGTGGCCCACTCTGGTGGTCATGTGGGTTCAGTGTGGGAGGTTTGGCCCAATTCTATCATTGGTGGCATTCAGAATGCTCTATAAATCCCAGCTACTACAACTTCCAAATGTCAAGATTCTATTTTCCCCAAACTCCACCAGTGTTCACATTTGGGCATATTGAGTATTAGTGTAGAGTTTGGTCCAGATCCATCATTGTTTGAGTTCACAGTGATCTCTGGATGTAGGTGAACTACAACTCCCAAACCAAAGTACACTGCCCACCAAACCCTTCCAGGATTTTCTTTTGTTCATGCAAGAACTGTGTGCAAGTTTGGTTCAATTCCATCATTGGTGGGATTCAGAATGCTCTTTGATTGTAGGTGAACTATAAATCCTAGTAACTACAACTCCCAAATGACAAAATCGTTTTTTTGAGTGAAGGACATACATAGGGTTGTTATGTGTCTTGTGTCCAAATTTGGTGTCAATTCGTCCAGTGGTTTATGAGTTCTTTTAATACCACAAACGAACATTACATTTTTATTTACATAGATGAAGGAAAAGCCACTGTTTTCAAGATCCAGCAACTCACCTAGCTCAGGAAGTCCCCTCATGCTTCCTGAGCTACTAATCCCCTAACAAAAGGTTTCACCACACACATTTGCATGGACAATAAAACAAATGGTTCTCATCAGCCAGATCTCGGAGGGCACAAGGCTAGTCCATCTGGAGATAAGGCCTCTGGGCATCTTGATCCACAAACACCAAAGGTGTTTTCCTGTCTGCGAGGAATTAGGACTTCTCTATAGCTTCTTCCATTATGTCAGCCCTGCTGGCCGAAACCAGTTCCAAAGTTCATCAACCCCATATCTCCGATAATAAAACAAAGGACCTGGCAATTTGGGCCAGACTATAGATGATGATTCCAAGGAACTTAAACAATAAACCCTGGCCAGCTCGAGGGCTTACGCAATCACTGGGCCATTTTGCAATCATTAGTCATTTAAAGTCAACCGGACATTTCTTCATTGTTTTCCTGTTGCCCACCTCCCTTCCACCCCATTGGCTGAGAGGCCAAAGCAGAGCTCAGACCACCATTGCCTATCCTGCTGGCTTGTCAACGTCACGGCCAATCACAACAAAGCTGGCTCAGGGAGTGGGCATGGAAACTTTTGAATTCGAAATCTATATATTCTGTATTTACCTGCCTAGCAGACATGTCAATTTGTTTGGCAGAATTACTGCAATCGTCATTCTTTCCAGCTGGAATGAAATAAACATCTCGGTGGCTTCTGCTTCAACTTGGTGAGATTTATTTTGCGACATTGCCTTTCCTTTTCTCACCAGGCAACCCACAATGGCTTGGGCCTAATCCACAGCCATTCTAAATTGCTCGACAACATTTCTGCCTTTGTTGCCATACCTTTCCATCAAGGATTGAGTTCTCTGACGCCGGGTCCAAACTCTCAGATCCAGCCATTCTCTCCAACATCTCCTGCAGCCTCCGACGCAATTTCTGGTTCTCTTGCTCCAGGGCCAGCAACCGACCCGACTCCTTCATTTCGTAGCCCAAAAAAATGGAAATGTCAGATGTTTCTGGAAAAGAGGGCGGATATTGATATATAAAATATGCTCTGCTGGGTTAATGCTGGAAGATTTTATGAGGAATTTTCTGAATCCTCACCCCAGAAAACCAAACCAAATCTAAAGTTGACCAAAAACTGATTCACAACCTTTTTGGTACTAATGTTGGAGAGTGGACCCTGGTCAAGTGGTCGTTGTTCACGTGGTCCCTGGTCAAAGCGGTCCCTGGTCAAAGCGGTCCCTGGTTAAGTGGTCCCTGTTCAAGTAGTCCCTGGTCAAGTAGTCCCTGGTCAAGTGGTCCCTGTTCAAGTAGTCCCTGGTCAAGTAGTCCCTGGTCAAGTGGTCCCTGTTCAAGTAGTCCCTGGTCAAGTAGTCCCTGGTCAAGTGGTCCCTGTTCAAGTAGTCCCTGGTCAAGTAGTCCCTGGTCAAGTGGTCCCTGTTCAAGTGGTCCCTGTTCAAGTAGTCCCTGGTCAAGTAGTCCCTGGTCAAGTGGTCCCTGTTCAAGTAGTCCCTGGTCAAGTAGTCCCTGGTCAAGTGGTCCCTGTTCAAGTAGTCCCTGGTCAAGTAGTCCCTGGTCAAGTGGTCCCTGGTCAAGTAGTCCCTGGTCAAGTAGTCCCTGGTCAAGTGGTCCCTGTTCAAGTAGTCCCTGGTCAAGTGTCCCTGGTCAAGTGGTCCCTGGTCAGTGGTCCCTGGTCAGAGAGGTCCCTGGTCAAGTGGTCCCTGGTCAAGTGGTCCCTGGTCAAGTGGTCCCTGGTCAAGTAGTCCCTGGTCAAGTGGTCCCTGGTCAAGTGGTCCCTGTTCAAGTAGTCCCTGGTCAAGTAGTCCCTGGTCAAGTGGTCCCTGTTCAAGTAGTCCCTGGTCAAGTAGTCCCTGGTCAAGTGGTCCCTGTTCAAGTGGTCCCTGTTCAAGTAGTCCCTGGTCAAGTAGTCCCTGGTCAAGTGGTCCCTGTTCAAGTAGTCCCTGGTCAAGTAGTCCCTGGTCAAGTGGTCCCTGTTCAAGTAGTCCCTGGTCAAGTAGTCCCTGGTCAAGTGGTCCCTGTTCAAGTAGTCCCTGGTCAAGTAGTCCCTGGTCAAGTGGTCCCTGTTCAAGTAGTCCCTGGTCAAGTAGTCCCTGGTCAAGTGGTCCCTGTTCAAGTAGTCCCTGGTCAAGTGGTCCCTGGTCAAGTAGTCCCTGGTCAAGTGGTCCCTGGTCAAGTGGTCCCTGGTCAAGTAGTCCCTGGTCAAGTAGTCCCTGGTCAAGTGGTCCCTGTTCAAGTAGTCCCTGGTCAAGTAGTCCCTGGTCAAGTGGTCCCTGTTCAAGTAGTCCCTGGTCAAGTAGTCCCTGGTCAAGTGGTCCCTGTTCAAGTAGTCCCTGGTCAAGTAGTCCCTGGTCAAGTGGTCCCTGTTCAAGTGGTCCCTGTTCAAGTAGTCCCTGGTCAAGTAGTCCCTGGTCAAGTGGTCCCTGTTCAAGTAGTCCCTGGTCAAGTAGTCCCTGGTCAAGTAGTCCCTGGTCAAGTGGTCCCTGGTCATGGTCCCTGGTCAAAGTGGTCCCTGGTCAAGTGGTCCCTGTCAAAGTCCCTGGTCAAGTGTCCCTGGTCAAAGTAGTCCCTGGTCAAGTGGTCCCTGGTCAAGTAGTCCCTGGTCAAGTGGTCCCTGGTCAAGTGGTCCCTGGTCAAGTGGTCCCTGGTCAAGTGGTCCCTGGTCAAGTAGTCCCTGGTCAAGTAGTCCCTGGTCAAGTGGTCCCTGTTCAAGTAGTCCCTGGTCAAGTAGTCCCTGGTCAAGTGGTCCCTGTTCAAGTAGTCCCTGGTCAAGTGGTCCCTGGTCAAGTGGTCCCTGGTCAAGTGGTCCCTGGTCAAGTAGTCCCTGGTCAAAGTGGTCTCTGGTCAAGTGGTCCCTGGTTAAGTGGTCCTGGCCGAGTGGTCCTTGGTCGAGTGGTCCCTGGTTGAGTGGTCCCTGGTCAAGTGGCCCCTGGTCAAGTGGTCCCTAGTCAAAGTGGTCCCTGGTTAAGTGGTTCCTGGTCAAAGTGGTCCCTGATCAAGTGATCCCTGGTCAAATGGTCCCTGGCCAAGTGGTCCCTGGTCAAGTGGTCCCTGGTCAAGTGGTCACTGGTTAAGTGGTCCCTGGTCAAGTGGTCCCTGGTCAAAGTGGTCCCTGGTCAAGTGGTCCCTGGTCAAAGTGGTCCCTGGACAAGTGGTCCCTGGTCAAAGTGGTCCCTGGTCAAGTGGTCCCTGGTCAAAGTGGTCCCTGGTCAAAGTGGTCCCTGGTCAAAGTGGTCCCTGGTCAAAGTGGTCCCTGGTCAAAGTGGTCCCTGGTCAAGTGGTCCCTGGTCAAAGTGGTCCCTGGTCAAAGTGGTCCCTGGTCAAAGTGGTCCCTGGTCAAGTGGTCCCTGGTCAAAGTGGTCCCTGGTCAAGTGGTCCCTGGTCAAAGTGGTCCCTGGTCAAGTGGTCCCTGGTCAAAGTGGTCCCTGGTCAAGTGGTCCCTGGTCAAGTGGTCCCTGGTCAAGTGGTTGTTCCCTGGTCAAGTAGTCCCTTGGTCAAGTGGTCCCTGGTCAAGTGGTCCCTGTTCAAGTGCCCCCTGGTCAAGTGCTCTCTGGTCAAAGAGGTCCCTGGTCAAATGGTCCCTGGTCAAGTGGTCCCTGGTCAAGTGGTCCCTGGTCAAAGTGGTCCCTGGTGAAGGTGGTCCCTGGTCAAATTGGTCCCTGGTCAAAGTTGACAACACTTTAAGTAGGATGGCTCAATCCTGGGAGTTATAGTTTTTACTAAGGCAGTGTATACCTTTTGTTGAGATTAACTTCACAATTCAGCAGCAGATCAGTTGCACAACTTCAGCGCTTTCCAGTAGCTTCTTCCTGCACAGTATTTTCAGTCAGCTGCTTCCACAGCCTGCAGTCACTCTGGAACCTTTTACAGACACTTGAGCACATGCCCAGCCATTGTCAGTTTTACCATTGTCTTTCCCCCAGTCTAGACGATATTACAAACTTACCACAGCATACAGTTATATCTTGTCTTAGCAGACAGGTTCTTTTAATTACATATAGCCTTCGATGAACAACATCACAGCACAAGGAGAGATATACACTGTACATGACTTCCTTATATACAATTCATTTACACATAGCAATCACTGATTGGTTCCCAACTCATTAACTTAACTCAGACCCAGGATTACATCATTCACAATCACCTGGACTAGGCCAGAACACATTCCTCAAATGATTCCCTATATACAGTTAATGCATGACTCAGCATTTCCAATAGAAGCCCATTCGCAGTGCATGACTCAGCTATATTACATTACAATACATTGTAAAACCTGACAAAATGGTCCCTGGTCAAAGCGGTCCCTGGTCAAGTGGTCCCTGTTCAAATGGTCCCTGGTCAAAGCGGTCCCTGGTTAAGTGGTCCCTGGTCAAAGTGGTCCCTGGTCAAAGGTGTCCCTGGTCAAAGTGGTCCCTGTTCAAATGGTCCCTGGTCAAAGCGGTCCCTGGTCAAAGCGGTCCCTGGTCAAGTTGTCCCTGTTCAAATGGTCCCTGGTCAAAGTGGTCCCTGGTCAAAGTAGTCCCTGGTTAAGTAGTCCCTGGTGAAATGGTCCCTGTTCAAGTGGTCCCTGATCAAGTGGTCCTTGGTGGACCCTGGTCAAATGGTCCCTGGTCAAGTGGTAACTGTTCAAATGGTCCCTGGTCAAAGCGGTCCCTGGTCAAGTGGTCCCTGGTCAAAGCGGTCCCTGGTCAAGTGGTCCCTGGTCAAAGCGGTTCCTGGTTAAGTGGTCCCTGGTCAAAGTGGTCCCTAGTCAAGTGGTCCCTGGTCAAAGTGGTCCCTGGTCAAAGTGGTCCCTGATCAAAGTGGTCCCTGGTCAAAGTGGTCCCTGGTCAAAGTGGTCCCTGGTCAAAGTGGTCCCTGGTCATAGTGGTCCCTGGTCAAAGTGGTCCCTGGTCAAAGTGGTCCCTGGTCAAAGTGGTCCCTGGTAAAGTATCCCCTGGTCAAAGTTGTCCCTGGTCAAGTGGTCCCTTGTCAAGTGGTTCCTGGTCAAAGTGGTTCCTGGTCAAGTGGACCCTGGTCTAAGTGGTCCCTGTACAAGTGGTCCTTGATCTAAGTGGTTCCTGGTCAAGTGGCCCCTGGTCAAGTCGCCCCTGGTCTAAGTGGTTCCTAGTCAAGTGGCCCCTGGTCAAAATAAGGTTGGGAACCACTGTTCTGCACAATAGAATGACAGTAGCTTAACCCCACTTTTAGCTTGCATTGTTCAGTGCTATGGAATGAATGGAGCTGTAATTTTACAAGGTCTTCTGTCTTCCCTTCAAGTCAAAGTGGTCCCTGGTCAAAGTAGTCGCTGGTTAAGTAGTCCCTGGTGAAATGGTCCCTGTTCAAGTGGTCCCTGGTCAAGTGGTCCTTGGTGGACCCTGGTCAAGTGGTCCCTTGTCAAAGTGGTTCCCGTTCAAGTGGTCTCTGGTCAAGTGGCCCCTGGTGAAGTAGTCCCTGGTGAAGTAGTCCCTGGTCAAGTGGTCCCTGGTCAAAGTGGTCCTTGGTCAAGTGGTCCCTGGTCAAAGTGGTCCCTCATTAAGTGGTCCCTCGTTAAGTGATCCCTGATCAAGTGGTCCCTGGTCAAAGTGGTCCCTGGTCCAGTAGTCCCTGGTCAAAAAAAGGTTGGGGACCACTGGTATATAATAATGCACCTTTGACTTATCACATGACAGAGGAATGACTCCTCCCAATCTGGAAGACGTTCCCTCACATCACCATCTTCCATTTAAAAAACAAAATATTTGACACATCTTGTGCAACCACACACCCACACGAGTCCATGACCTGCGTCCAAATGGAGGAACATTCAAAACATTTCGCAGACCTCCCAATCTGTTCAATCAGTCCAATAGAAAAAAACACAATTTGCTAAACCACTTATTTCATTGGGAAACCCATGACTTGATAATAGATTCCCATCTTATCAAAGGTACGGGTTGTAGATCTTTGCTTGTGGCTTGCTATGGGTTACCAATGAAAGAGACCTTGCGTCTTGTGATGAGACCCATATGCAAAGGGTGTCAGTGTGATAAGGTCCTGGGATCCAAGCCGTTTGTGAGTTGCAAGAAGCAGATCCAGTGAACTTACCCTTTGGAAGGCAGTCTTGGTCCACTTCTTCTGAGCGGAGGGCATCAATGGGCTCCTTCAAACCTTGCTCCAGCTGCCTCTCGAGATCCAGGTTTTCTCTCAAAAGCTCTTCTCTCTGATGGGAGATCTGGTCTCGTTCCTGCAGACAGAACCTGGGCTTAATCTTGTCCAGAATCATCGCCAAGACGCCCAGTAGGATGGGTTACCTGGCCAACTTACAAAGCGTTATTGAAGAAACAAGAAGGAAAATGGATTCTAAAATTCAAAAATGTCTCCTGGCTCCAAAACAACCAAATAAAAGAACATTTCAGGGAAGACAAAAAGTGGCCTCAGTTGCTGAGAATTTTTGAGTTTCTAAAGAAAGACTCCCGCGGTCCGCCCAGACAAAGAGGAAAGCACATCTTACATTTTATTATTATTATTATTATTATTATTATTATTATTATTATTAAACTTTATTTGTACCCCGCTAGCATCTCCCAAAGGACTCGATGCGGCTTACAAAGGCCAAGGCCTCAACACAACAACAGCAAAACAATAACAATATAATACAAAGCAAATTAAAAGCATAAGCAATAACAAAACATTACACCGTTACGCAATAAAAACCAGGGCCGGGCCAGTGATGGGTACAGGTTAAAAAAGTGCTGGGTGTGACAGGAGGTATGTTGGGATTGTGGGCAAGTGCAATGTGCTGAGAGTCTTAAACTCTAATAAAGTGCTTCTGGGACATTGTGCAAGGGGTTATCCTATTCTGGAAAGGCACATCGGAATAGCCAGGTCTTCAAGTTCTTCCTAAAGACTGCCAACGTGGGTGCTAGTCTAATTTCTTTGGGGAGGGTGTTCCAAAGTCAGGGGGCAACCACAGAGAAGGCCCTGTCCCTCGTTCCCACCAAATGAGCCTGCGACGCAGGTGGGATCGTGAGCAGGGCCTCTCCGGATGAACGGAGGGAGCGGGTAGGTTCATAAACGGAGATGCGGTCATGCAGGTAGGCAGGTCCCAAACCGTTTAGGGCTTTGTAGGTAAGCACCTGCACCTTGAATTGGTGCAGGTGCAGGTGCACCTTGAATCGGTAGGTAAACGGCAGCCAATGGAGCTCCTTAAACAGGAGGGTTGACCTCGGTCTCTGTATACAGAGCTGCCAGTTTATATCATTCCTCGGCCGCTATCGTGGCTGCCCACAGCCCGTTGAACCAGTTGGAATTTCCGAGCCGTTTTCAAGGGCAGCCCCACGTAGAGCGCATTACAGTAATCCAATCTAGAGGTGACCAAGGCATGGACCACCCCGGCCAAATCAACCTTTGCGAGGTACGGTCGCAGCTGGCGCACAAGTCTTAGTTGTGCAAAAGCCCTCCCGGACACCGCGACGCCTGAGCCTCAAGCGTAAGTGATAAATCCAAGAGGACTCCCAAGCTGCAGACCTGTGACTTCATGGGGAGTGTAACCCCGTCCAGCACAGGTTGCCATCCTATACCACGATCCGGTTTACGATTTGACCAGGAGGACCTCTGTCTTGTCGGGATTGATCTTCAGCTTGTTCCTCCTCATCCAGATAGACACAGCGGCCAGGCACTCGTTCAGCACTCGAGGGGCTTCCTTGGAGTTAGGTGGAAATGAGTAGTAGAGTTGTGTGTCATCTGCGTAGAGATGGCACCTAACTCCAAAACTCCGGATGACCTCTCCCAGCGGTTTCATGTAGATGTTAAAGCATGGGAGACAGAATAGAGCCTTGCGGGACCCCACAGGTCAAAGGCCAGGGGTCCGAGCAGGCATCTCCCAGCTTCACCATCTGGGATCGGCCCTCCAGGAAGGACTGGAGCCATGACAGAACACTGCCCCCGAGACCCATCCCAGAGAGTCGACCCAGAAGGATACCATGTGAGACCCATCCCAGAGAGTCGTCCCAGAAGGATACCATGATCGATACCTCATATACATATAATAACTTCATATATATATATAATAACTCCGTGTCAAGATCAGTTTTCTTTATTCCGCTGTGAATGCCTGCTTGAGGGCCAACAGGTTGAAATTGAATCCTGACAAGACAGAGGAGCTACGGGTCAGTCGCTCGTCCGAACGGGGTATAGGGTGGCAACCTGTTCAAAGGTCAGGGGTCAGAGCAGGCGTCTCCCAGCTTCACCATCTGGGTTCGTCCCTCCAGGAAGGACCGGAGCCACGACAGAACCGTGCCCCCGAGACCCATCCCAGAGAGTCGTCCCAGAAGGATACCATGATCGATGGTATCGAAAGCCGCTGAGATGTCCAAGAGAACCAACAGGGTCACACTCCCCCTGTCCAGCTCTCTACGGAGGTCATCCACCAAGGCGACCAAGGCCGTCTCGGTGCCGTGGCCAGGCCTGAAACCAGATTGTGACTGATCTAGGTAGTTGTTGTCATCTAGAAAACCCTGGAGCTGGGAGCTTCTAAAGAAAGACTCCCGCGGTCCGCCCAGACAAAGAGGAAAGCACATCTTACGTTTTAATTTTATAGGATCTGGGTGTGACGGCACAAGTTCTAGGATTGAATATAAGGACTGCAGAGAGTCAAGGAAGGGTTCTCAATGGGGACCAGGTCTCCGCTTCTCACCTCTTTCATCTGATTCAAGCTGCTTTGCAGGTGTTTCTTCTCTGCTTCCAGATGTTTCACCTGCTGGCTTCGGGCACAAGCTGCTTCCAGTTGCTCCTCCAGCATGGCCTTGGTGTCCAGCAGAGCCTGAGAAAATTCACGTTCTTCCTGCCAACCCAAAGCGCTCCATCAAACAAACAAACAGAACCAACTCTTGAGTAGAGTTTGGGCCAGATCATAGTTTGGATTCAAGGCAGGTAGGTTGAAAATACCGTATATACTTGAAGATAAGCCCAGTTTTTCAGACCTTTTTATGGGCTGAGGTCGCACCTCAGAATAGATTCACCTTGGTGAAATCACTAGAAATGCACACAGTCTGAAATCTTTGTAGTTTATTGAAAAATAAAAGATGAAAAGTTTAAAAAAAAAGTAATCTTCCAAAGATCAATAAAACATCTATCTATGTATATAATAAAAGTCAGTGTTTGTATGTGGAGGGAGGGAGGGTGGTGTATGTGGCAGCTTTCTGATTGGCTGCCACTTTCACAAGCCACTATGACTGCTACGAATGGTGAACCTGGACTAAACTTGGCACACATAACCCCCATGACCCATGTTACACCCTGGTGCGGTTTGGGGGAATTGTACCATGGATTATGGGATTTGTAGTACTTTCAAACACAAATATATACACACACAAAGCACATATACACAGACTGGGCCAATCCTTGCACTAAAGCCATTGGGTCCATAGCAGGCATGGGGAAACTTCAGCCCTCGAGGTGTTTTTGAGTGCTTTGATGGTGTCTTCCTGCCTGGCAAAATGGGGTTGGACTGGATGGCCCTTGGGGTCTCTTCCAACTCTAGGATTCTATGATAGAGAAATTTTGTGCAAAACTGGCTAAACTAACCAAACAGGGCTAGCTCTCTCGGCAGAACTTACCTTCAGCTGGGCTTGGTATTGCTCCAATACAGGCAGCCTCCCTCGCAAGGCTGCCAGCTCCGTCTGAAGCCGTTCTGTCCGCAAGACTTTCTCCCGCAGGGCATCCAGTTCATCCCGGTACAAAACGGTGAGGCGGGCCTCGCTGGTCAACCTTCGATTCTGGAGAATGCAGACGAGAGGAAGGGCACTGAACAGACTGCGCTCTGGCACCACGAGATGCAGAGCCAACCTTAAGAAATGGGGCCACAAAGTGGAATCCACGACATGCGAGTGTGGAGAAGAGCAAACCACTGACCACCTGCTGCAATGCAGCCTGAGCCCTGCCACATCCACAATGGAGGACCTTCTTGCGGCAACACCAGAGGCACTCCAAGAGGCCAGATACTGGTCAAAGGACATTTAATCAACTACCAAGCTTGTAAACTTTGTGTTTTGTCTGTCTGTCTGTTTGTTTGTTTAAAAATGGAATACAACTGTTTGGTTTGCTCCAGACACTATATATATATATATTCCAAAAGCAATTAAGGGATGGGTCATTTCAGCAATCTACATGACATGAATGAGCACTCCAGATTACATTACTATTCTTCTATTATTACCCCACTCAAGCTCAAAGCCTCAATTAATTGCAATTTTTATCATGATGTTTGTATCTACATATTTTCAGTGTGGTTCCATGCAGGGGCGGCTCAACCATTACGCAAAGTAAGCGGTTGCAGTATAGTTGATTTTTCCCAGGGGCGCTCTTGAGGCGCTCTTGGGGGAAAATAGACCTTGACATATGCGAGTTGTAGTTACTGGGATGTATAGTTCACCTACAATCAAAGACATTCTGAACTCCACCAATGATGGAATTGAACCAAATATGGCACACAGAACTCCCACGACGATCAATGATTGGTTGGGGGGGGGGGGCAAAATACAGTTTGCTTACCGTTGAAAATTATCAATGTTAACTATTAGAGATGCAAACAACTGTTATCGATGTAACTGTGAAAAGGTACTTCTGTAGTCCTACCTCTTCACGCATGTGTTGAAGCTTTGCTTCCAAATCCTTCAGTTCATCCTGCAGATCTAGCTGCTCCTCCATCTTCTCTTCTCTGGTGGTGACAGTTGCTTTATTATATTTATTTACTTATTGAACACATTTATATTTTGCCTTATTCAAATCTATATAAATAAAAATGTAATGTTCGTTTGTGGGATTGGCATAACTCAAAAACCACTGGACGAACTGACACCAAAGTTGGACACAAGACACCTATCAGGCCAACGAGTGACCATCACTCATAAAAACACTGAAAAACACAACAGAAGGGACTTAAAAGGCAACCCACCCCCCAAATTACAACACATGTGCAAAACCACATATATATACACAAACACACATATATACACACACAAAACACACAGAAGGGGGAAGGAGGAAGTAAGGAGAGAAAGAGGGAAAGAAGGAGGGAAGGAGCTCAGCTATCCCAGGATTGGCTAGGACAGATGGGAGGAGCTGGAGCTGTGAGTGTAAAAAAGGCAGGCAGCTTCTGACAGAGAGAGAGAAGGATTTTAGCAGTGAGAGAAGAAGGATTTTATGAGGGAGAGAGGAGATTAAGATTTTCAGACAGAGAGAAGGAAGAGTCTCAGTGAGCTAGGAGAGAAAGAGGAAAAGAAGGGGGAAGGAGAGAAGGAAAGAAGGAAGAGAAGGAGGGAGAGAAGAAGGGAAAGAAGGAGGGAAGGAGAGAAAGAAGGAAAGAAAGAGAGGTAGAGAAGGAAGGAGAAGGAGGGAGAGAAAGAGGGAGAGAAAAGAAAGAAGAGAGGAAGGAGAGAGAAGGAAATAACAAATAGAGAAGGAGGTTAAGTAGTCTATAAAGTTTAGTATACTTATAGAATAGGATTGTGAAGGGATATAGGTTGAAATAGTATAGGAGTAGTAAGGAGGGGGAGTAAAGAGTTGATAAGAAGGAGATTTGTAGTCATATGGAAATGAATTAATTATTAAGAGTGATAGTATGAATGGAATTTCATTCAAGTTAATTTTTTATCATGATGGAGAGAAAGGATTGTTTAAAATACATATGACATGAATAGAAAGAATTAAATGCAATAAATATAGAGAAAGCAGTATATGAGTAGTAAAGATAAAGACGAATGGAGTTTTGTTATCGTGCTTAAATAATTACTTAAATTACAATAAAGCATTTTAGAGGCTTTCTGTAATGTTATATTATGTTTATGATACCATTGGGGATGGAATTAGGGAGGTGGATGGTATATAAGAAGGACTATGAAATAGAGTTTAGAGAAGCATTAAGGAAGAGTATGAATGTGGGTAAGAGGAGTAAATAGATAGATAGAGAAAGAAATAGTTGATTTTAATAAGAGTAGAAGATGTGTAAATTAAATTCTAGGGATATACGTTTTCTTTGATCTTGAGTATATAATTATGCAAAATTCATTATTTAATTGAGCCGTAATTCACTCCTGCCATTTATTTGCATTTCAGTTACTTCACATGATAGAAGGATTATTATAAAAAGTTAAAGATTGAATGATAGGTAGTAGAAGGAAGCAAAAGAGGACAAACCGGACTGAAGTAACGTCATGATCTATGAAGTACAGGAAGGAATTTCCAACTGGAATGTAAGTCCATTCTATTTCTTATTGACAAAGGAAGGAAGGAAGGAAGGAAGGAAGGAAGGAAGGAAGGACCCAGCCAAGGGATGCTCAATCCCAATATTCTGCTTTGTTTTTGTATTTTCCAGTCCATTGTTTTTTATGCCCCACAATATCTACCCAACCTTTCCCCCAGTATTTTAACTCACTCACAGTTGATGCTGCAGACGCCGGACTTGGGCTCGAGCTTCAGCCAACTGCACCCCAAGATGTTGGCAATTGTTATTTGTTGGGGAAACTGCCGGGGTTTCCTTTTCCTGCTGCAGATCCCATAGTTTCTGTTAAAGGGCAAAGGAATGGGTTCAAATGACAGGACCTAAACATTAGGACGAACTTCCTGACTGTAAGAGCTGCTCAACAGTGGAACTCACTGCCTCAGCGTCTAGTGGAAGCTCCTTTGGAGATTTTTAGACAGAGGTTGGATGGCCATCTGTCTGGTGTGCTTTAAGTGTCTTTTTCCTGCATGGCAGGGGGTTGGACTAGATGACTATTGCGGTCTCTTCCAATTCTATGATTCTATGAATCAAAAGGATAAAACCAGAGATACAAAGGTCTAGAATTATAATGTTAGGGGAGACTCCAAAGGCCATCCAGTCTGCAAAGACATCATCAAAGACCACAGACAGATGACCATCCAGCCTCTGGGTTGATGTGAGTTTCCGCCCTGTATGGTCATGTTCCAGTAGCAGTCTCTCCTGATGTTTTGCCCCCATCTATGGCAGGCATCCTCGGAGGTTGTGAGGTCTGTTGGAAACTAGACAAGTGGGGTTTATATATCTGTGGAATGATGTCCAGGGTGGGAGAAAGAACTCTTGTCTGTTTGACAGGACAGTAAATAAAGAACAACAACATTCAGAAAAATCCAGACAGGAAACAATCAGGAGCAGCTAACACCTCCCAACAAAGGATTCCCCCAGGCAACAATCAGCCAGGCTTTGAAGCTGCAAGGCCATTCAATACCAATCAAGGTGGCCAATTGCAACATTCACAGACAAGAAGAATTTAGAACTATTATTATTATTATTGAACAATTACTATTATTATAGAACTATTATTATTATTAGTAGTAGTCACAACTTTAAAAACTTCACAGTTTAAAACCCTGTGTGTTATTGTCTATGTGTGAGTTATATTAATTGTATTGTTTATTTTGCTTATTCCCTGTTGTTTTATTGATGTATTGTTGGGCTTGGCCTCATGTAAGCCGCTCCGAGTCCCATGGGGAGATAGCGGCGGGGTATAAATAATAATAATAATAATAATAATAATAATTATTATTATTATTATTATTATTATTCCACAGATCTATAAACCCCACTTGCCTAGTTTCCAACAGACATCGCAACCTCTGAGGATGCCTGCCATAGATGGGGGCGAAACGTCAGGAGATAATGCTTCTAGAACAGTGGTTCTCAACCTTCCTAATGCCGCGACCCCTTAATACAGTTCCTCATGTTGTGGTGACCCCCAACCATCAAATTATTTTCGTTGCTACTTCATAATTGTAATTTTGCTACTGTTACAAATCATAATGTAAATATCTGATCTGCAGGATGTATTTTCATTCACTGGACTAAACTTGGCACAAATACCCAATACACCCAAATTTGACTACTGGCAGGGTTGGAGGGGTTGATTTTGTCATTTGGGAGTTGTAGTTGCAGGGATTTATAGTTCACCTACAATCAAATAGCATTCTGAACTCCGCCAATGATGAAATTGAACCAAACTTGGCACACAGAACTCCCATGACCAACGGAAAATACTGGAAGGATTTGATGGGCACTGGCCTTGAGTTTGGGAGTTGTAGTTCATCTACCTCCAGAAACTCAAACAATGATGGATCTGGACCTAACTTGGCATGAATATTCAATATGCCCAAATGTAAACACTAGTGGAGTTTGGGGAAAATAGACCTTGACATTTGGGAGTTGTAGTTGTTGGGATTTAGAGTTTACCTACAATCAAATAGCATTCTGAACTCCGCCAATGATGAAATTGAACCAAACTTGACACACAGAACTCCCATGACCAACAGAAAATACTGTTTTCTGATGGTCTTTGGCGACCCCTCTGACACCCCTTTGCGACCCCCAGATTGAGAAACACTGTTTTAGAATATGGCCAGACAGCCCAGAAAACTCACAACAACCCAGTGATTCCAGCCATGAAAGCTTTCGACAACACATCCAGCCTCTGTTTAAAAGCCTCCAGATGCACTGGACTCCATGGAGCATACGTCTAGGTCTCCGGCTATTTGCGATCCCTCTACCTCCAAAGCCGCATCTCGTTGTTGCACCACTTTTGGGATTTGAGACATCACATCCTGCAGGAGCTCTTCCATCTCTTCTTGTTCCAGTTGCTTCCAGTGCAACTTCAGCACATTCTTGGGTTTCTGGGTTACCTTAGGTAGGGGGGCAAGGTGGGAGTGTTAGAACACTTTGCAAGGCCCTCTTCTTGGACTCAAAGTGTAGAAACTGTAAAAGAGGCTACGCTGAAATAAACTGACGTAGTGATAACTCAGCAAAATAATAATTTATTATTTATTTATTTAAAACTTTTCTATCCCGATCTTCTCACCTGCGGAGAGGGACTCAGACCGGCTCGCGGCTGGCACACAAGTTTTAACTGCAAAGGCCCTCCCGGCTACCGCCGACACCTGAGCATCAGCGCTGAGTCCAGGAGGACCCCCAGACCACGGACCTGTGTCTTCAAGGGGAGTGAACCCCATCAAACACAGGTTGCGACCCTATACCCCGTTCGGCCGAGCGACTGACCCGTAGCTCCTTTATTTATTATTTATTATTTAGCAATGTTGTATACCGGTCTTCTCCCCTCTATCGGGGGACTCGGGCCGGTTTCCAACAATAAAATCACAAAACAATCATTAAAAACATCATATAACATATTCAATTTAAAACGTTATAAGAGCAAAATGCAGTCACATAATAACAATGGTCAGTCGTCATAGTGAATTCGTTGTCCATCATTCATCGTCATCTATCCGATGACAGAAATATTGATTCACTCGTCAAAAGCCAAATCCCATAGCCAGGTTTTCACCCGTTTTCTGAATGACAGAATGGTGGGGGCAGTTCTGATCTCCAGTGGGAGAGAGTTCCAGAGTAGAATATACTCCAAATGATGATATTAGTAGTCCTAAAGACCGTAAATGGATTGACAATACTTGTAGTCCTTGAGAACGTAAACAAATCAATACTTGTAGTCCTTGAGAATGTAAACAAATGACAAGGATCCCCGGGTTGAGTTCGCCTTGTTTCGGGGGACTTCCCCTTCTTCAGAATGTTTCTTCTATTTGCTAGCAGGTGGTTCACACCCTACATCCCTGAGTGGGTAATAACAATAACAAGATAGCAACATAATAGATATGCCAACAAAAGGCACCCAAACCAAAAACATTTAGTGATGATAACATACAATACAGTAAAACAGACTCCCCAGCCCACGCCAGAGCTCCCTGTTGGCCATCACCACCCCCAGCTCCTTCAAGGTCAGTCCAGTCACCTCAAGGATGCCATCCATCCACCTTGCCCTTGGTCGGCCCCTCTTCCTTTCGCCTTCCACTTTCCCCAGCATCATTGTCTTCTCCAGGCTTTGCTGTCTCCTCATGATGTGGCCAAAGGACTTCAACTTTGTCTCTAGTTTCTTTCCCTCCAGTGAGCAGTCGGGCTTTATTTCCTGGAGGATGGACTGGTTGGATCTTCTCGCAGTCCAAGGCACTCTCAGCACTTTCCTCCAACACCACAGTTCAAAAGCATCGATCTTCCTTCGCTCAGCCTTCCCTAAGGTCCAGCTCTCACATCCGTAGGTTACTACAGGGAATACCATGGCTTTGACTAGGTGGATCTTTGTTGCCAGTCTGATGTCTCTACTCTTTACTATTTTATCGAGATTGGACATTGCTCTCCTCCCAAGAAGTAAGCGTCTTCTGATTTCCTGGCCACAGTCTGCATCTGCAGTAATCTTTGTGCCTAGAAATACAAAGTCTGTCACGGCCTCCACATTTTCTCCCTCTTAGGACTACTAATATCATCATTTGGAGTATATTCTACATTGGAGACCATATGGACAAGATTTTAGTTCACTGACTGTCTCAAGGACTATACATAATTTGTTTACGTTCTCATGGACTACAAGTATTTTCAGTTTATTTACGGTCTCAAGGACTACTAATATCAGCATTCGTAATATATTTTGTATCGGAGACCGTTGGGATTATATTTGAAGTTCACTAACACTAAGCAGAATTCTCTATACAGCTAATCTACTCTACCCAGAGAGCAAACCACTTGTGTAAACCCACACAAGCACCCAGGTGACTACTTGACCGTCCTGGCCAATAATGTAGCCTTGCCTGTCACAAACTCGCTCTGTCAGAAAAATCCTAAGCTCAAAAATACCGCTCCTCTCTCTTCTGTTCCCAAAATCAATCTCCCTGCTCTCTGTGAAGCTGACACTTTTCCCGCTCAGGACTTAGCTCCTCCCATCTGTCCTAACCAATCCTAAGAGATCTCCAGCTCCTCCCTTTTTCTCACTTTACACTCCCAAGATGTCTGCCTCCTTTGCTTACCCTCCCAAAATGGAGGCCTACCTCACTGATATCCCAGGCTTCTCCTTCGGCCTACTAGGTAAGAATCATTACACCACCCTATACCCCGTTCGGCTGAGCGACTGACCCGTAGCTCCTCTGTCTTGTCAGGATTCAATTTCAACCTGTTGGCCCTCAACCAGGCCATCACAGCAGCCACTACATGTTGTTGTTGATGGTGTTGTTGTTACTATTATTATGAATCTTAAGAGCAGTGCATCAGTACCTCCTGGATGGCAGATGCCAAGGCAGCCTGGGTACCAATGTCCAGTGTCTGGATGCGTCCAATGATTTCTTCTCGTCGCTCACACTGTTGGAGAAACAAGAATAAACATTCACTTCTTTGCATCTCTCTGAGTTGAGAAGCTCCTGAAAATCAGACTCTGTGGGTGAATCTACACTGTAGGTTTAATGCAGTTTGACATAACTTGACTATAGAATCCTGCTATGGAGTAGTCGTTTGGTGAGACACCAATACTCGTTGGCACCCTTGGGAAACCACAGCTCCCAAGATTTCATAGCACTGAGCTGTAATGATGTCAAATTGAATTATATTGACAGTGTAGATCAAGCTTCCTAATGCCGCAACCCCATAATAATAATAATAATAATAATAATAATAATAATAATAATCATCATCATCATCTTTATTTACACCCCGCCACCATCTCTACATATATGGTGTTTTTTTGAGTTTTTAAATCTGTTCCTCTGAAGTTTTGTGTGTGTGTGTGTGTGTGTGTTTAGGGGTGATGTTCATTCATTGGCCTGATATGTGTATTGTGTCCAAATTTTGTGTCAATTTGTCCAGTGGTTTTTGAGTTATGTTAATCCCAGAAACGAACATAACATTTTTATTTATATAGATAGCAAGATTGTTTATAGCAAGGAATTGGGAAAAATAAATAAATATATTGTCGAAGGCTTTCATGGCCGGAATCACTGGGTTGTTGTTGGTTTTTTCGGGCTATATGGCCATGGTCTAGAGGCATTCTCTCCTGACGTTTCGCCTGCATCTATGGCAAGCATCTTCAGAGGTACCTCACTACCTCTGAGGATGCTTGCCATAGATGCAGATGAAACGTCAGGAGAGAATGCCTCTAGACCATGGCCATATAGCCCGAAAAAACCAACAACAACCCAAGAAATAAATATACAAAAAGAGGAGTGGTTTTTGAGTTACGTTAATCCCACAAACAAACATTATACACACACACACACAAGCCGTCCCCTGTTATGCGTTGCTGTGGCCCAGTCTGTGTATATGTGTTGTGTGTGTGTGTAAATATGTGTATATGTGTGTACATATTTGTGTATATGTGTATCTATGTGGTTTTGCGCATGCACTGGGATGTATTTTTTATTTTTGGGGGGGCTTTTTAAGTTTCTTCTGTTGCGTTCTTCCGTGTTTTTCAGTGTTTTTATGAGTGATGGTCACTCATTGGCCTGATAGATGTCTTGTGTCCAAATTTAGTGACAATTCGCCCAGTGGTTTTAGAGTTATGTTAATCCCACAAACGAACATGACATTTTTATTTATATAGATACACAAATATACACACACACATATACACAAACCGGGCCACAACAACGCATGGCAGGGGACAGCTAGTCTCTATATAAAAGCCTTTATATCTCATGACAAATGAAATAGTGGGTTAATTTATAGGCAATCGCCACTCTGTACATGTCCAGATATAACCATTATTTTGTGCATTGGATATTGCACATTAGAACCCTAAAAGCTGGAAAGGAATAAAGTAAACGATTCTTTGGTGAGGCTCATATTTTGCTGAGCTTCATGAAATGTTGCAGCATGATAGGAGAGATAATATCAAGAGAGATCCTTTCCAGAGAAAGAAAAGTACGGCTTTATTTCCAGCTGGGACCCTGGAGTGGAGTTGTGTCCAAAAGCAACCAGAGTGCACGATAATGGCGTTGACTTTCCCTTTTATACACTTCAAATGCAGGCAAACAAAGAAACATGCTTCTACCTACATTGACATCATTCACTGCGTCACTTTAGCATCATAGAAATATCAAATTCTATCTGCCAACATACAAAAGGCATGTCTCTGTATTTCTGTCTAAAGAGCAGCATACAGCTTACATTCATCAATCAAGGGGCCTACTTTGACCTGTCAGAGAGGGAGGGGGATAGGCTCCTTACTTAGCTATAGCCTGGGCTATGTTGTACCAGTCTCTCTCTCTGGAATGTATAGATAACATGCCCCCCTTCTCCTCCCTTTCAACATTCCTTCTCTGTCCTGCTGGCTTTCTTACACAGAGAGAGCCTGATTTTTCTATACATTTCAGTGCTGGTAAAGTACATACAATATTTGCATAAATAAATATCTATTTTCCCAATATCTCCCCATCAAAAGTAGCTGAATTTGGGGTCCTTTCAATACCTGAACAGCGCTCCCCAGCAACAGCAGCAACAGCTTCTTCATCTCACCAACAGCCTGGGCTGGATCAAGGAAGAAAACATTATAAAGTGGAGTGAAAAGGCACAACCCGTTGCTGGACTAAACAAAAACTTTGCCAGAAAATTAAGTACAAATCCTGACCTATATTGAACAAAAAATGATAGAGGTGAATGGAGGCATTCTGCCTTTTTGATCCATTGTTAACATACCTTCTCCTGACAAAAATTATAATATCACAATATAATATCTGGGCCAGAATGAAGACAGAGGGGGCCAGGGGACAGTTCCATCTTGTCTCCTGCATATGTCATCAGTTGGGGACTCCTCCCCCCAGCACCAACTGCCGCTCTGGGCCAGAGTGAAGAGAAAGGGGCCAGGGGACAGTTCCACCTTGTGTCCTGCATATGTCATCAATTGGGGACTGCTCCCCCCAGCACCAGCTGCCGCTCTGGGCCAGAGTGAAGAGAGTGGGGGCCAGGGGACAGTTCCATCTTGTCTCCTGCATATGTCATCAGTTGGGGACTCCTCCCCCCAGCACCATGCCGCTCTGGGCCAGAGTGGAGAGAGAGGGGGCCAGGGGACAGTTCCATCTTGTCTCCTGCATATGTCATCAGTTGGGGACCCCTCCCCCAGCACCAACTCGCTCTGGGCCAGAGTGAAGAGAGAGGGGGGCCAGGGGACAGTTCCATCTTGTCTCCTGCATATGTCATCAGTTGGGGGCCCCTCTCCCCAGCACCAACCGCTGTCCTGGGCCAGAGTGAAGAGAGAGGGGGCCAGGGGACAGTTCCATCCTGTCTCCTGCATATGTCATCAGTTGGGGGACCCTCTCCCCAGCACCAACCGCTGTCCTGGGCCAGAGTGAAGAGAGAGGGGGCCAGGGGACAGTTCCATCTTGTCTCCTGCATATGTCATCAGTTGGGGACCCCTCCCCCAGGACCAACTGCTGCTCTGGGCCAGAGTGAAGAGAGAGGGGGCCAGGGGACAGTTCCATCTTGTCTCCTGCAAATGTCATCAGTTGGGGACCCCTCCCCACAACACCAACTACTGCTCTGGGCCAGAGTGAAGAGAGAGGGGGCCAGGGGACAGTTCCATCTTGTCTCCTGCATATGTCATCAGTTGGGGACCCCTCCCCCCAGCACCAACTGCGCTCTGGGCCAGAGTGAAGAGAGAGGGGGCCAGGGGATAGTTCAATCTTGTCTCTTGCATATGGCATCAGTTAGCGACCCCTCCCCTCTGCACCAACTGCCGCTCTGAGTCAGAGTGAAGAGAGAGGGGACCAGGGGACAGTTCCATCTTGTCTCCTGCATATGTCATCAGTTGGGGACCCCTCTCCTAGCACCAATTGCTGTTGTGGGCCAGAGTGAAGAGAGAGGGGTCCAAGGGACAGATCCATCTTGTCTCCTGCTTATGTCATCAGTTGGGGAACCCTCCCCTCAGCACCAACTGCTGCTGTGGGCCAGAGTGAAGAGAGAGGGAGCCAGGGGACAGTCCCAACTTGTCTCCTACATATGTCATCAGTTGGGGACCCCTCCCCCCAGCACCAACTACTGCCCTGGACCAGAGTGAAGAGAGAGGGTCCAGGGGACAGTTCCATCTTGTCTCCTGCATATGTCATCAATTGGGGACCCCTCCCCCCAGCACCAACTGCTGCTCTGGGCCAGAGTGAAGAGAGAGGGGCCAGGGGACAGTTCCATCTTGTCTCCTGCATATGTCATCAGTTGGGGACCCCTCCCCCCAGCACCAACTGCCGCTCTGGGCCAGAGTGAAGAGAGGGGGGACCAGGGGACAGTTCCATCTTGTCTCCTGCATATGTCATCAGTTGGGGACCCCTCCCCCCAGCACCAACTGCTGCTCTGGGCCAGAGTGAAGAGAGAGGGGGGCAGGGGACAGTTCCATCTTGTCTCCTGCATATGTCATCAGTTGGGGACCCTCCCCCCAGCACCAACTGCCGCTCTGGGCCAGAGTGAAGAGAGAGGGGGCCAGGGGACAGTTCCACCTTGTCTCCTGCATATGTCATCAGTTGGGGACCCCTCCCCCCAGCACCAACTGCGCTCTGGGCCAGAGTGAAGAGAGAGGGGGCCAGGGGACAGTTCCACCTTGTCTCCTGCATATGTCATCAGTTGGGGACCCCTCCCCCCAGCACCAACTGCCGCTCTGGGCCAGAGTGAAGAGAGAGGGGGCCAGGGGACAGTTCCATCTTGTCTCCTGCATATGTCATCAGTTGGGGACCCCTCCCCAGCACCAACTGCTGCTCTGGGCCAGAGTGAAGAGAGAGGGGGGCAAGGGAGAGTTCCATCTTGTCTCCTGCATATGTCATCAGTTGGGGACCCTTCCCCCCAGCACCGACTGCCGCTCTGGGGCAGAGTGAAGAGAGAGGGGGCCAGGGGACAGTTCCATCTTGTCTCCGGCATATGTCATCAGTTGAAGACCCCTCCCCCCAGCACCAGCTGCCGCTCTGGGGCAGAGTGAAGAGAGAGGGGGCCAAGGGACAGTTCCATCTTGTCTCCTGCATATGTCAATAATATATATGTAGTATATTATATATAATAATATATTATATATTATAATATATATAATATATTGTATATACATATGATATAATATAATAATATAAATACATATCATATTTATTATATTATAATGTAATGCAATATAATAATAATATGATATTATAATTATATATTTATATTACATGTTACTAATAATATTACAATATAATGGCATAGTACAATATAGTAATATTTAATACTTATATTGTACTATGCTAATAATATAATACATTATATGTATATATACCTTGTAAGCCATATAAATGTCATAAATGAATTAATTAATAAATAGTTGTAGCACCCCAAATGCTCTCCCTACCTGTGAGGGGGTCTTGAGCCAGGAGATGAACGTTGGGTGGCGAGAAAATAACAAGTTGTTGCAGATCATTCTGGGGGGGAAAGGAGGAGAGAAAGTGGGGGGATAATTATAGCTCATCCATCGCTATGGACATCCTTCCGTTATCGATGTTTCCATTCATGTGCTTACCAAGTCTTCAATTCTTTCCTCTTTTCCCCCTTCTAATACTTTGTATGATGAACTTGCCAAATGAATCACGAACAAGGGCTTTGGATTCCTATTGTGTGGCTCCCATTGCAACTGAGGAACTCGCTGCTGCTTGAATATCTTCTGTCCTGGTTGCTATGGAATCTATTTCTTGAACTCAATAGTGGCGTGCTCGCATTCTTGCTTGGATTTCTGCCAGCATCTAAGAGGTATCTTAGGGCCATCCAGTCCAACCCTATTCTGACATGAACACGATCAAATCACTCCCAACAGATGGCCAGCGAACATCTGCTGTCAAAAAACTCCAGGGAAGAACCTATCACACTCTGAGGCACCCACCCACCTCCCCAGTCCAGATTTCTACCTAATAGATGTTCCATCTAGGTAAAGGTAAAGATTTTCCCATTTCATTAAGTCCAGTCATGTCCGACTCTGAGGGTTGGTGCTCACCTCCATTTCTAAGCCGAAGAGCCGGCATTGTCCATAGACGCCTCGAAGGTCATGTGGCCAGCATGACTGCATAGAGCACCGTGACTTTCCCACCGAAGCAGTACCTACTAGGCGTGTTCAATGCACGGTTCTAAATGGTTCTAAAGTACTTACAAACTAAAGTTCTGGTGGTGAATATTACAGAACTCTAACAAAACTCTCAAAAATAAATGGCAGTTCCTAATTGGTTCTGTCATAAAAATCGCCAATAATGAAATAATAATTAAATTTTGAAAGAGTTCTGAAATATTCACCACCAGAATTTTAGTTTTGTAAGTATTTTAGAACCATTTAGAACCATGCATTGAACAGGCCTAGTACCTACTGATCTACTCATATTTGCATGTTTTCGAACTGCTAGGTTGGCCGAAGCTGGGGCTAACATGCCGCTCCCTGGATTCGAACCTGCGACCTTTTGATCAGCAGGTTCAGTAGCTCAGCGGTTTAACCCACTGCACCATTGGGGACTCCAAGATGTTCCATGTAGTCACAGATAAACAAGAGGACACAGAACAGAAAGAACCAGAGTTCTTTCCCCCCTCTTGGACATTCCATAAGTCTATCAACCCCACTTGCCTAGTTTCCAACAGACCTCACAACCTCTGAGGATGCCTGCCATAGATGTGGGTGAAACATCAGGAGAGAATGCTTCTGGGACATGGCCATACAGCCTGGAAAACTCACAGCAACCCAGTGATTCCGGCCATGAAAGCCTTTGACAACACAACGGTGGATTTGTACACATACTCACCAAGTAAAAGCTGTACAGGCGTTGCAGGACCGCCTGGAGCATTTGCAACCGATGCACTTCTTCGCTTTCATCGCTCCATGAAGGCCGTGCTCCTCCAGGGATTAGATCTCTAAGAAAGCACAAGAATTTAAGGAGCTAACCTTGAGAGGGATCTTTGGGAGAAAAGTATCTGTTGTATTTTGGTGGTGGATGCTGCTGGTTTCCCCCCCAGGTCTGTTGGATTTTTCGGTATCTTGACCTATCTCCTGTAATCTTGGAATCCTGGAACCTTGAACCTTTGGACTGGCTTTTGACAATGGTATAGACTCTTGATCCTTGGACTCTGTTATTGAACTCTCGGCGTTTGACCACTGGACCGGACCCTTTTGACTACGAAGCTATTTTTGCTATCGGTTTTTGTTTATTCTGTATCTGAGTACTATCTTTATGTTTTATGTTTTGGTGTATTAAAACAGCCAGCAAGTAAGTGCTGTTTTAATTAAACTATTTGATAAAACTGGGAGTTTGATTAATCTCTACCTAAATAAGGTAGAGCCCTGGCAACGTGACAAAAACCAAGGAATTCATAGTTTTACCAAGGACACTAGGCTGGAATGGACCCTATCTCTCCCCTATGTGGGAACCTAAGGCTCTTTCCATGGTCCCACATGCAAGGTCCCTGTAATCCACACTTTATGGACTTTTCCATGAACTTTTAGAAATTTTTAATCAACTTTTCATGGACTTTGGAACTCTTATGGAACAGCAGTGCTAGTTAACAAAACAAAAGGCCTTCAGGCAAGTAAACAAAGGAGGGAGAAAAGCCGGATTATCGCAGGACTCAAATTCAGGGAAAAAGGAAAGCAGAAGCAAACGCTGGTGTTGATAAACACGGAGTCAAACGGTCCTTGGTCATACACAGGCAAGAGCAGTAAACAAAGTCCAGAAAGCAGTTGCGTGGTCCAGGAACGTTTCCAAAGTCAGGGGCAAGGATAAGTCACTCACGTAGTCCAATCCGAAGTCAAGGCACAAGAAGACACAATAACTGGAAACCCAGGACCCAAACAGAGGTTAGGCAGCACAAAGACCGGATACAACGCTTTGTCCTCTGCAAAGCTACATATCCCAGAGCTCCCATTTTTATTAGCAGTCACTATCGCTTGATTGGCTATCATCGCTATCATTTGGGTCATCTCCCTCAGCTGCTGGCTCGTTACCTCGCCAATGCTGCCATCGTTGATCTAGTCCAGGATCCACATATTTTGGAATCCCTCGAACTCGTCACTGGACGTGGGTTGATTGCATATGTCCTGAATTTCCCTAACCCGAGTCCAGTCCAATTCATCCTCCATCTCCTCATTACTGGCTTCCAGTTCATCTGCACTGGAATTGTCAGCTGTATCTTTAAGCCGTTTACTCAAAGTTTCCTCATCACTATCAGACTCATTGGCAACCCGCTTTACTCCCCGGTAATCCCCTTCTTCCAGATCCTCGGGTCCAAACCCTGCAAAATCTTCCGTGTCGCTAGGTGTCAAGAATATATCTCGAATACGCTTCAGCTGACGCTGATCCAGCTCTGACTCAGCATCACTCCTCCTTCTCCTACAACCGGTAGTAGCTTCACTGTCAAGACGCTGAGCCACAACAATAACTCTTAGCGAAAGAGGCATGGACGTGACATCTTTCCCCCAGGAGATTGCTTCTTGCCCCCCTTTAAGAAACTGGAACTCCCAAAGACCAAAACACTGTAGATAACTCAAAATAAGTTTAATTGTTCACAAAGAGTTATCCCTTTAAGACAATAAGCTGGAAGTTTCAAAGGGGTAAATGAAAATATACATTACAGTCTTTGGTTGTCTTGGGTCCAAGGAGTTTGGCAGCTGAGAAGCTTTTCCAGGTCCCTCTTACTCAATGGCTGTGAATATCGGAATAATCACAACCCCAATTCCAATGGCCTATATTTTAAAGGCACAAAGCCTTCCTCTGGTGCCAAAGGACTAGTTTGAAGGTGCTTGAGACTTCTCAACGTCATCCAGGTTGATCTGAACATGAAGCATAAGTCTCAAGGGTAAGAACCTCAGAATTGGTGCTGAGAGGTAACTTAATCAAGGGCTTCAGAGCCAAGTCTCTCTCTCACGTCCATCTGATAGAAAGTTTGATGGTGAAATGGAAAAGAAAACACTGTCCTGCTCTCTAAGAAGGGGTGGGGTCAAACAATTGAGCAGGAGGAGCAATTCAACTGGTGCAAACAACATTGATTGACAGCTATAAATAACCAATCAATCCAACTATACATTTACAGGGTAAAAAGGCAAAATCAGGCATGATACAGCAGTTCAAATCCTGCAACTTACAGTTCTACATATAGGTGGCGCCACTCGCACCGTCACATGAACCTTTGGTGGTCTGTGGAGGGAGGGAGGGCTGACAGGGCTCCCTTGACCTTGCATGGTTTATCCCTTATGATTTCCTTGTACGTTCCCTTTTCCCATTATAGGTGTGTATGTCTATATTTATGAAATATGAAGGAAAAGCCACTGTTTTTAAGATCCAGCAACTCACCTAGCTCAGGAAGCCCCCTCATGCTTCCTGAGCTACTAATCCCCTAACAAAAGGTTTCACCACACCCACTTGCATGGACAATAAAACAAATGGTTCTCATCAGCCAGATCTCGGAGGGCACAAGGCTAGTCCATCTGGGCATCTTGATCCACCAACACCAAAGGTGATTTCCTGTCGGCGAGGAATTAGGATTTCACTACAGCTTCTTCCATTATGTCAGCCCTGCTACCCAAAACCAGATCCAAAGTTCCTCAATGCACCCCATATCTCCGGATGATAAAACAAAAGACCTGGCCATTTTGGCCAGAGTACAGATGATGATTCCAAGGAACTTAAACAATAAACCCTGGTCACTCGAGGGCTTACGCACTCGCTGAGCCATTTTGCAAACATTAGTCATTTAAACCAGTCAACTGGACATTTCTTCATTGTTTTCCTGTTGCCCGCCTCCCTTCCACCCCATTGGCTGAGAGGCCAAAGCAGAGCTCAGGCCACCATTGGCTATCCTGCTGGCTTGCCAACGTCACAGCCAATCACAACGAAGCTGGCTCAGGGAGTGGGCATGGAAACTTTTGAATCTGAAATCTATATATTAAAGAGACATGCACAAAAAGTGGAAAAAGGGAGAAATCACCAAAGAAGAATTCAAACAAATAGCCAACACCTGTAGGGAAAAGGTCCGCAAGGCTAAAGCAAAAAACGAGCTCAGACTTGCCAGGGACATTAAAAACAATAAAAAGGGCTTCTATTGTTATGTCAGTAGAAAAAGGAAAAACAAGGAGGCGATAGGACCTCTTCGAGGAGAAGATGGGGCAATGCTGACAGGGGATAGGGAAAAGGCAGAACTACTTAATGCTTTCTTTGCCTCGGTCTTCTCACAAAAAGAGAGTCTTCAACCTCAGCAAGATGGAGTGGATGAGGGATTGGAGGACATCCAACCCCAAATTGGGAAAGAAGTCGTCCAGGAATACCTGGCCGCTCTTAATGAGTTCAAGGCCCCAGGGCCAGATCAACTACACCCCAGAGTATTGAAGGAACTAGCGGAAGTCATTTCGGAACCATTGGCAACCATCTTTGAGAGTTCTTGGAGAACGGGAGAAGTTCCAGCAGATTGGAGGAGGGCCAATGTGGTCCCAATCTTCAAGAAGGGAAAAAAGGATGACCCAAACAACTACCGTCCGGTCAGCCTCACGTCGATACTAGGCAAGATTCTGGAAAAGATTGTTAAGGAAGTGGTCTGCAAACACTTAGAAACAAATGCGGTCATTGCTAATAGTCAACATGGATTTATCAAAAACAAGTCATGCCAAACTAATCTGATCTCTTTTTCGATAGAGTTACAAGCTGGATATATGCAGGGAATACCCTGGATGGAGTATGCCTGGATTCAGGAAGGCCTTCGACAAGGTCCCCCATGACCTTCTGGCAAGGAAACTAGTCCAATGTGGGCTAGGCAAAACTACGGTGAGGTGGATCTGTAATTGGTTAAGTGGACGAACCCAGAGAGTGCTCACTAATGCTTCCTCTTCATCTTGGAAAGAAGTGACAAGTGGAGTGCCGCAGGGTTCCGTCCTGGGCCCGGTCCTGTTCAACATCTTTATTAATGACTTAGATGAAGGGCTAGAAGGCATGATCATCAAGTTTGCAGATGACACCAAATTGGGAGGGATAGCCAATACTCCAGAGGACAGGAGCAGAATTCAAAACGATCTTGACAGATTAGAGAGATGGGCCAAAACTAACAAAATGAAGTTCAACAGTGACAAATGCAAGATACTCCACTTTGGCAGAAAAAATGAAATGCAAAGATACAGAATGGGGGATGCCTGGCTCGAAAGCAGTACGTGTGAAAAAGATCTTGGAGTCCTCGTGGACAACAAGTTAAACATGAGCCAACAATGTGATGTGGCGGCAAAAAAAGCCAATGGGATTTTGGCCTGCATCAATAGGAGCATAGTGTCTAGATCTAAGGAAGTAATGCTACCCCTCTATTCTGCTTTGGTTAGACCACATCTGGAATATTGTGTCCAATTCTGGGCACCACAATTCAAGTGAGATATTGACAAGCTGGAATGTGTCCAGAGGAGGGCGACTAAAATGATCAAGGGTCTGGAGAACAAGCCCTATGAGGAGCGGCTTAGGAACTGGGCATGTTTAGCCTGAAGAAGAGAAGGCTGAGAGGAGATATGATAGCCATGTATAAATATGTGAGAGGAAGCCACAGGGAGGAGGGAGCAAGCTTGTTTTCTGCTTCCTGGAGACTAGGACGTGGAACAATGGCTTCAAACTACAAGAGAGGAGATTCCATCTGAACATTAGGAAGAACTTCCTGACTGTGAGAGCCGTTCAGCAGTGGAACTCTCTGCCCCGGAGTGTGGGGGAGGCTCCTTCTTTGGAAGCTTTTAAGCAGAGGCTGGATGGCCATCTGTCAGGGGTGATTTGAATGCAATATTCCTGCTTCTTGGCAGGGGGTTGGACTGGATGGCCCATGAGGTCTCTTCCAACTCTTTGATTCTATGATTCTATGATTCTATATTCTGTATTTACCTGCCTAGCAGACATGTCAATTTGTTTGGCAGAATTACTGCAATCATCATCCTTTCCAGCTGGAATGAAATAAACATCTCGGTGGCATTTTCTTCAACTTGGTGAGACTTTTTATTGGAAAATCAGGGAAAACTCTATTGGGTGCTTCTTTTCTCACCAGGGCTGAAAGGACTCTCTTTGATGGGTCTAGCTGGTCTGTGTGTTTTGGTACGGTTGTACCAGGAACTCCAATTTTATTTGCTTTGTATTAAATGTTTCCTTGCAGTCCAAGGTTCCTGGGATTCTGCAGATAGGTGGCTTCCTTTGGTTGCAGTCATAGGGCAAGTCACCTGTCCATCATCGTTAAGTTTTGGTTCCGCCCCTTGCTCAGGGCAATTGGGAAGGGAAGGGAGCCATTTTTAGTTAGTCTCAGCAAGGAAAGCTAATGTACAGGACGTGTGCAAGCTTCCCCTGTACAAAAGCTTCAACCCTTAAGACTTTCGGGGGAGAACAGTCTTAAGAGCATCCAAAGATCTCCAAGTATTTCCAGTGAAACAGTCCTAAAGCTTTGAAGAATTTCGGAGGGTAAACAGTTTGAAAGACCACAAAACTCCAGCTGGAGAGTCTACTGCCTTACTGGTAGGTCCACTCGGTGCTCGAGAAGCAGATCGACCCGGTAGCGGAGCCCACATCAGTAAGGCTTAGATTACAGTCAGCCTGGGAGAAGTTAAAAAGGGATTTTCCTTAAAGTAAAGTAACAGTTACTGAAGACAATTGCCTGTCCTTTATGGACAAGATTAGGAAGCCACCAGTTGCATAAAAGCCTGGAAGCATTTGTTTAACTTTATTGAAGACAAGAAAAGTTTCTGTTTGATTGTTCATTAATAAAGAACTTTGTTATTCTTCACGAGCCTTCTAAAGACCATTTGTGGTGGAAGATCCCTGAGAGCTTCTCTTCGGGGGCCCTGGCTTCCAGCTGTAAACAAGTTGTTGTTGTTGTTCATTCGTTCAGTCGTCTCCGACTCTTTGTGACCTCATGGACCAGCCCACGCCAGAGCTCCCTGTCGGCCGTTACCACCCCCAGCTCCCTCAAGGTCAGTCCAGTCACTTCAAGGATGCCATCCATCCATCTTGCCCTTGGTCGGCCCCTCTTCCTTTTTCCTTCCACTTTCCCCAGCATAATTGTGTTCTCTAGGCTTTCCTGTCTCCTCATGATGTGGCCAAAGTACTTCAACTTTGTCTCTAGTATCCTTCCCTCCAGTGAGCAGTCGGCTTTATTTCCTGGAGGATGGACTGGTTGGATCTTCTCGCAGTCCAAGGCACTCTCAGAACTTTCCTCCAACACAACAGTTCAAAAGCATCTATCTTCCTTCGCTCAGCCTTCCCCAAGGTCCAGCTCTCACATCCATAGGTTACTACAGGGAATACCATGGCTTTGACTAGGCAATGGATCTTTGTTGCCAGTGTGATGTCTCTACTCTTTACTATTTTATCGAGACTGGACATTGCTCTCCTCCCAAGAAGGAAGCGTCTTCTGTTTTCCTGGCCACAGTCTGCATCTGCAGTAATCTTTGCGCCTAGAAATACAAAGTCTGTCACGGCCTCCACATTTTCTCCCTCTATTTTCCAGTTGTCAATCATTCTTGTTGCCATAATCTTGGTTTTTTTGATGTTTAGCTGCACCTGGCTTTTGCGCTTTCTTCTTTCACCTTGATTAGAAGGCTCCTCAGCTCCTCCTCGCTTTCGGCCATCAGAGTGGTGTCATCTGCATATCTGAGGTTGTTAATGTTTCTTCCAGCAATTTTCACCCCAGCTTTGCATTCATCCAGCCCCGCACATCCTCGCATGATGTGTTCTGCATACAAGTTAAAAAGGTTGGGTGAGAGTATGCAGCCTTGCCGTACGCCTTTCCCAATCTTGAACCAGTCTGTTGTTCCGTGGTCAGTTCTGACTGTTGCTACTTGGTCCTTGTACAGATTCCTCAGGAGAGAGGGAAGGGGGCTTGGGATGCCCATCCCACTAAGAACTTGCCACAATTTATTATGATCCACACAGTCAAAGGCTTTAGAATAGTCAATGAAGCAGAAGTAGATGTTTTTCTGAAACTCCCTGCCTTTCTCCATTCTCCAGCATCTGGATATTGGCAATCTGGTCTCTCGTTCCTCTGCCTTTTCTAAACCCAGCTTGAACATCTGGCAACTCTCGCTCCATGTATTGCTGGAGTCTTCCTTGCAGGATCTTGAGCATTACCTTACTGGCATGAGAAATAAGGGCCACTGTGCGGAAGTTGGAGCAGTCTTTCGCATTTCCCTTTTTTGGTATGGGGATATAAGTTGATTTTTTCCAGTCTGATGGCCATTCTTGTGTTTTCCATATTTGCTGGCAAATGGCATGCATCACCTTGACAGCATCATCTTTTAAGATTTTAAACAGGTCAGCTGGGATCCCGTCATCTCCTGCTGCCTTGTTGTTAGCAATGCTTCTTAAGGCCCATTCAACCTCACTCCTCAGGATGTCTGGTTCTAATTCATTCACCACACCGTCAAAACTATCCTCAATATTATTATCCTTCCTATACAGATCTTCTGTATAGTCTCGCCACCTTCTCTTGATCTCTTCAGCTTCTGTTAGGTCCCTGCCATCTTTGTTTCTTATCATACCAATTTTTGCCTGAAATTTACCTCCAGTGTTTCTAATTTTCTGGAAGAGGTCTCTTGTCCTTCCTATTCTGTTGTCTTCTTTCTCTTCCATGCATTGCTTATTTAAAAATATTTCCTTATCTCTTCTGGCTAACCTCTGGAATTGCGCATTTAACTGGGCATATCTCCCCTTATCACTGTTATCACTCAAGTTGCACGTCCTAATTTAAAGACAATTCTTTACAGGCCCAGCGTGCGACAGAACACTCTGCCTCCTGGCAAAGACGCCAAAATTCTTGCTCGATATCAAGTGGTCCAAAAAGATGGCACTAAGAATCCAATGGTACTAAAACTGGAGTATACACTTCTTAAATTGATATTAGTTAGCACACAATTGCATGAAAAGAGTGACTTACATCACCTCCATGACACGGATGAGGAAGTCTCCATTGACTAACTGGAGGAAAAACTCTTTGGGATCCTCAGGACTTATCTCCCGAAGGGACCGGTCATATCTGGAGTCTACCAGACTCTCCAAGGTTTGTATCTGTTGTAAAAAAAAATAAAAAATAAATATCAGTCACACTTTTCTTGCCATTCTTCTTTCCACTTTTCTTCCCAAAGAGAGCAAATGCATCGCCCCTAAAAGAAGACAAAAATGAGGTAATTACATACAATTAAACACATTATCTCATCCTATTAAGACTGATAACATGATTTAAATTAAATTGGTGGCACTCTGAAATCTAATATTTTTTTCACAGGGGCTTTATAGGGGAACACTCCCATTAAAAGGATTATTGAGAATCTGAAAATGTGTAGTCTGTGCGCATTTAGAACACCTACAAGCCACTCTAAACACCTTTGCAGAAGCATCGGGACTGTGGCGCAGCTGCCTGGGAGTCATGATACTGTGAACCACCGCCTCCTCCTGAGAAAAATGTATAATATCACAAAGGACGACCACCTCACTCGCCTCATAGGAAACCTGCTACAAAACAGGAGCTTCTTTGTTGAGTTCCAGAGCCAGAGAAGCGGATGGCGGAAACAGAAGAACGGCCTGCCTCAGGGGAGCGTGCTTTATCCATCAATGTTCAACATCTACACAAATGACCAGCCACTGCCAGAAGGGAGAGAGAGTTTCATCTATGCTGATGATCGT